GAGATTCCCATCCTTTTTTTGCTTTGAAAGCCGCCGACAAGAGGCAACAATGGAACAAGCTCTTTGCCGGAGAATCCGTGATTTACGGTCACGCTATGTGCTTCACGGGTTCAGTCTTTGTAATACCAACTGAAATGAGTCAACTTGAACATGTCGATGCTGACATTGCTGACTGCTCCAATTGCGAGCCTCGGCAATTCCCCAACAAGCAGCCAGAGCACTCCGTCACCGGGGCCGCGACGCCAGTCTCGTACCAGGCTAACGGGCCAGGCGCCGAAATACCCAGAGGATCACTTTTCTCATCGGGCCTTTGTTTGCTGGGGAGAGAAAATCGGCAACGGGGATCAGGCTGGTTCTTTCCGTCTGGACTGTTTGGCTTATTTTCAGGCTATCGATACCTCTAGTCTTGACAGCTCGAAATCGCTCATGCATCGCGTTACATGCCGTCCTCCGTCGGCGACTGATTATAACACCATCATCACCAGCATCGACATCAAAGAACAGCAATGGCAACAACGTGGGTATACTACTAACAAGGACCTGCTCACCTGACACGGAGCATCCGGTACGGTACGGAGCGGAAAATGGAAACCAAGGCAGTCGGTAAGGAAGAAGACGGGATCCAACATGGTCATTATGGTGTGGGCTACGGGAATGCTTGGAGGCATTTGTCTCAAGACCGCCGACGACGGCGACAGTCTTCCCATTTTCGTCGTTTCCCCATCCGCCCCCCTCTCGCCGAGACCCTCAGTTCAAGCGGAGCTGCAGTCTGCACCGTCTCTTTTGACTGTCCACGCTGTCAGTTTTAAGACATCTGTTGGCCGCCTTTTGTCCTCTCACGAATTTGTTAATTTATTTGCTTTGTTTCTCGTGTCCACCTGGACCAACAAAGTCTCTTATCGAAAGCTCTCTTGATGACTGGATAGTAATTCGTCATGATCTTGCTCCCAAGTGGATTGCATGGCCATAGCTCCCGTTCGGCAGCTCATCTGCTCCACTCCAATATATTTTGCTTGTTGGGCTTTGAGAGAAGGCTTGAAACGATGCTTTCCCTGCTGTTACTGCGCCACAAGTGAAGCCACCGCTAGAAAAAAAAAAAATCAACCAAGTGAACAGCAGCCACACATCATACCCAATCCCTAGTTCATCCTGGTGTACCGACACATGCCAAGCCCGAGTGTCGGCTGGTTGGCTGGTTGGCTACGTACAATATCCAACATCAACAAAAACAGACACTTTCTCATTATCCCAGCTTGTGCCCTGCTAGACAACACCCTCGATGGAACGCGAACCATAGTGGATCTGGGGAAAAGGCAAAAGGAACCACAACCGTCATCGCCCGGGCTTTACCGCAACTTTAACTTTGATATTGTGGACAAGGCGGGATCGTCTTCACATCGGTTCGCGGGGTAGATGAGGAGCTATCCTTGACAGTTCGTGGGAACGGCGATTCATGCCCCTGGCTAAAACCGACCCAAAGACGCCCAAAATGCACCTATAACCCTGGCGGAACCCTGGCCCTTCGGCAACACCATTATCGTCGGGCCCCATTCACCGGAACGGTCCGGAGGAATGCTGCCAGCTTGGCTCGGTTCCCGACTCATGTTGGCGGTCCCTTTCCCTGGAATAGCCACACGCCCGGTAACGATCGATAGGCAAAGCCGCCTGCTCGCGGCATTGGCATTCATGCTCCCCGGATTTCGAGCTGTCAAGTAGCTGCAGCTGTCCAAAAGAAGGGTCCTCCTGGTCACCGTCCAGACCCTCACTTGACGTCACACAACATTGGCTGTTAGGATGCGGCTACGAGACTGCTGATACCCTATCACTTACACGTTCGTGACGGTCGGCTAATGATATCGGATATGATGAGCAGCTCTAGGTGTACAGTCACTCGATTCCTGGACAGTTCCCTACATCTCGATCCGGACAACATAAATTGATGATTATCGTTACAACAAGAGACGGATTCAAGAACAGCCTGGTTCAGCAAGGTCAACTGTTGGTCTTGTCGGGATTCTATTGCGGTATACCCGCGGATGTAATCGGGTCGCCGGATGTGCTCGGCCCATCCGCTTCCCTTATCTGGACAACCACACGATCACAAGATCAACATCGAACCGACGACAAGCGTTCGGAGCATCCGCCCTATCAGCTACAATGGATCTAGAACGCGTTGATGCACCTTGATGGCATGTAGTCCAGGGGAGATCAGCAAGATCTTCAGGTGTTCGGCCAAGAAAAGCAAGACCATTGTATACACCCCTGACTGAAGTAAACAAAGCGTTGTCGAACCAGGCTGGAACATGACACTCCTCAATTTCAACAAAACAACATGACCAAAGTCTTCCTTCGGCCACTTACGAAATACATGACCATCAGATTACACTGCTGATACGATTCATCTTGATGCATGGTGATGGTTTCAGGCTTTGGACTAAAGCTATTTTGGCTGAGCGCACCCGCTGGAAGAAGTTCTTACACCCATGCGGTATCAAGGGTCGACTACGGGTTGCACTCAGGTACCTTTCCGAAACTGTGCATTGCATGGCGATGATCTACCGCGACCGGGCCGCATTACTTTTTTTGTACCACAAGTACAATATTGACGGGGTCAAATGTTGCTCCAACAAGCGTCATTACACTTCCCGATTCGACGCGACTCCCATAGTGCGATGGCCTTGGAAGACCTCTGAAATCTCTAAAGGATCCCTATACCGTTGGCATTTATTCTTTTGTGCATTTGGCACATGAAGTCGACATTTGACTGTCCATCATATAGGGTGATTAGGCAAAAAATTACGAGTGTCCTGTCCGGAAGACTGTCTGGCCGGGTCTGGCTGGAGCCAGACTGGATATCTGCGCCCACGAAGGATAATCAACTGTACATGTTCGCTGCATCGAACCGGTAACAGACGGCCGTCTTCATGTTGGCTTACAGGTACAGTTCTCAGTTTTATGTTTCCTTGTTCCCCCGTGGGTCCAGACACTTGCCCCACACCAGTTCCCCCACGAACACTCTACTCTGTCTTTCCCAAGGACATTACTTCAGTAGTTTTGACATTTCCTTGCGTCTGTCCCCGCCTGTAGAGACTCGATGCTTGCAGAGTTTACAAGTCGGGATCACTGTCTGTGTCAGGGTTACTGACTCTGGCCTTCCGCTTCTCCCTCCCCTGGTTTTTCTGTGTACCGCTCCCGTTCCCATTCGTGTTCTCCTCCCCGCCTCCATTCCCATTCTCGTTCTCGTCCCCGTGCCTATTCTCGATATCAACCCCATCCCCACCCTCCTTCCCATAATCACCATCCTCCAAGCCCACATCCGTCCCCCTATCCGCTATCTTTGTCCCCATCTCCCTAAATTGCTCCGCGATCATCGCTATTAGCTGCCCTTCGGTCGCCATGTCGAGCGCTTTCCTCGTGAAGATTTCCATATTATCGCCTTCGTCCAGGGCGGCTACGGTGTCTTCTAGCGCAATAAGTCGCTGGCAGAGGTCGCCTGTGATGATCTTGAGGTCATCGATGCGGTCCCAGATGTATTGGTAGAGGGAGGCGATTTCGGAGTAAGTTGGCTTGGGCTTGCTGGTGGTGGTGATGGCTGAGTTTGCCGTATTTGACGGTAGAATCGGAGGGAGGGATTTGCTTCTGGTGATTCGTGGCGGGAGAGGGCTTGGTGGCTTGGGTTGGGAAGTGAAGAGGGGGGCTGGCGATGAAGGAGGTGGAGACAGTGAGGATGATGTAGCTGGATGGAGTCTCTCACTTTGAGAGTCGTTAGGACCTGGACTAGTCATCTGCGAGGAGAGGGGAATGAAGAAAAAAACTGTTGGGGCGTGGCGAGAGTTTTGGCGTTGCGGTTGGGTATTGGCACTATTGGAGAAATACCTCAGTGTAAGTTCCATTGGTGTGCGCGATACTAACTATCTGCACGTTTCATATAGTAAATTAAATCGCACATTCATCCCAAAGAACGTACTAGAGTATACTCGTTTTCTCAAGACAAGTCGATTGGATCTGCAATCATCGACCTCATTCTGCTGCCTCAGTTTGATGCGATCACAATATCTCAAACGGCCCCCCACAAGCGTAATCCGTGGCCGCCATGTACAAACTAGCAAAGCATTATTGTAACGGAAAAGCATGGACAATCTCATACATTCAGGTATATCTCTTTCCATTTTATCTTGAATGATGGATGTCCTGCCTGTCTCATTTTCACTTTCCATTGATAGCTTGAACATACAGGAATCGACGAGGTGGACTCTTGCTTTGTATATTTCATTAGTGGCCCAATTCTCTCATCAACTTTGCTCCTCTTCTCGGCTACCGCAGCAAACGCGAACACGCGGCCCAACACCCAAATATCATCAACACCCCCAAACAATGGAGGTGACGACAACGACGGCCATAATAGCACCAGCATCACAATGGAACGGACAAAGGAAGCGTAAATGTCAAGGATATTGTTAAGGCTATGGGAAGATATGCGAGATAAGAATTAGGATGGTGATCAAGACACCAAGAGCTGAGCAGGTATTGAGGACAGAACCATGCCTAACAGAAGCATTGGGAAGAGGAGAAAGAGGAAGATACCTATAGTCATCAATACCTCTATGTTGATCTATTTGTTCCCAAATGGCTACAGCTGGAGCAAGTCTCGCTGGGCACTCAAAGATGAACAACTCAAGCACACATCGATATGTCATGTCACGAAGCTGGAGCAAAATGTGAATTGCAATGATTTTTGACAACTACCATAATAGCTGTTTCCAAACGATATCACTTCTCTCGCCAATCCGCTGAGGGTTTTTTTCCTACCCTACCCTCTCCCGCATCCATAAACCACTCCAACTTGATTAGAGTTGATGCTTGAGAGAGCATCTAGCGAATTTTCCAAGAGACATTGCCTCCCACGTAAGGTGAAGCATCAATTATGTATCATGTCTTGGTGTGCTCGTGAGCTGCTCATATGATCATAACCTCGTAGCCTCGTAACGTCATAACCGTCGTATCTGTTCATCCATGAATCCCTTGTCGACGAAAAAAAAAAAAAGAGAGAGGAAAAGCGCTTGAAAATGCATGATGGGTATCTCGGGGTATCTGGGTATCATCCTCCCTCCTTCCAAGTGCCAAGTGCCAAATCAGAAATATGTAAACCCTGTCCGAAACAAAAGTGACTGTTGGTTGCCATGAAACTGTACTTTGTGCTGTTGTTGTGCTAAACAGCACTGCCAATCATGAACTGACTGCCACTTTGTAAGATTAGTGAAAGCAGGTAAGGAAATGAGAAAAAGGAAATCGTATCCGTTTGTCGATCTGTTTGCCGACTTTATTTGTTTGTTTGTTGATCTGTTGTCAACTGGCTGTGTGCCGATGTCTTGAATGGCCGATACATAAGACCAAATCTTTCGCGCGTTCCACCAGACTGTTTGTTGATGGATGTTGCTGGATGTTGGACGTTGAAGCCTTTCAGACACCAATCATTTCTGCGCCACCTAAATAGAAGAAACACTTTCCGTCCACCTGCTCTGTGTTGTATCACACAAATCGTTCACTCCTTTCGCAGAAGCCCTCGCCATCTACTCGTCCTCCTCCATCTCGGCCAACTGAACCGGGTTCTCACCCTTCTTCCACTGCTCGAACCAAGCCTTGGTGGTGAGAGTCCCAAAGAACGGACGCAGCGCGAGCAGATTCTCCTCAGCTGTCTTCCAACTCTCCCAACGGAAACCGCCGGGGATCTCGTCGTGGTGGCCGCAGGCGAACAAGCCGCTGCTGTGGACCAGGTTGATAAAGTACTCCAGATGGCTCACGTCGCGCTCGGTGCCGCTGCCTGTCGGTGACAGATTGAATCGGGCGATGATCTCACGATTGTCAGGAATGAAACGAGGGCTGGATTCGGGGATGGGATAGATGACAATGTCGCTGCTGGCACTGAGGATGGCGTAACTGCTGGTGTTGCCGGTATTGGTGCCGTTGCTGTTGCTGGCCGCAGACGATGAGGTCGAAGAGGGGGCTGATGCAGGGGCAGGGGACGAGGAGGCCTGCGGTGGGTTTTGGACAGGCAGTGGGTTGTGAGAGAACGATGGGCTGCGCTCAGTCGGAAGACTAGTGAAACCAAAGGCGATGGCGGCTTCGCTGAGGGGGACAGGGCGGCGGGGAGCCGGGGCATAAGGGTCGTCCTCATCATTGTTTTGCTCGTTGACTTCGTCGTCATCAAGCAGGGTGAGCAGTCGTCCCTCGATGTCGTAGGCAGGCTCAAACTCCTCTTGAGTGGGAGCCGGCTGCTCAATGGCGGCCTGCTGTCGGAAGAGATCTTGTTGCTGAACAGGGGCAGGCTGCTGTTGATCAAAAGGCTGCTGCTGCGAGAATTCTTGTTGCTCTATGACAGGCTGCTGCTGAACAGGAGCAGGTTGCTGCTGAGCAAAGTTCTGTTGCTGAGCGAGAGGCTGTTGTTGCGCAGTGGGAAACTGCTGCTGAACCGGAATCTCCCTGGGCGTCGAGACAAACTCGAGGAAAGCAGGCATGATATTGGCGGGAATCAAGTAGAAGGCGCGGTCCTCAAAGACGTACATGGTGCGAGGGGAGTTGAGACCGGTACCCGCGCCTTTTCCGAGACCGAACTTGGCCGAGGAGGCCGACTTGGACAATCTGCCCTTAACCTTGGCCTTCTTCGACACTTTTCTCTTCTTGGCCGGGGTGTCGCTGACATTTGGGGTGCGAGTCGAGTTGCCGCGCTTACGCTTTTTGGGAGGGCTGCTGGGCTCAGGGGTTGTCACGTTGTTCAGTTGGGCCTGCTGTTTTGTGTCAGTCAACCTATCGAAAATATTGGGAATTGCAATGCTTACCTGGTTGGCTTGCTTCATGGCGTTGAGTTTAGCATTTTCCTGGTTGAGGAAGACGACAAGAGGGTCGTTCTCGATGCCGTTGCTGGGAGGGGCAGGCGTAATAAAAGGGTCATTGTTGAAAAGATTGTTGTGGGCAGGAGGAGGCGCACTTCCTTCTACGGGAATATCCTGCAAGATCGCATTGCTGGCAAGAGTAGGGTCAAAGAGAGGATCGTTTTCAGTGACCTTGTTGGCAGCAGGAGGCGCATATCCTTCTACAGGAGCATCTTGGGAGATCGCATTGCTGGCAGGAGCAGGCGCATTTTTGCTCGTGGGAACACGCTGGGGGATCGAATCGCTGAAGTTGCGAAGGGGGGCATCGAGGTCATACTCATAGTCCTGGGGGAGGAGCTCAGCTCCCCAGAGATACTCGCTGATGGCAGCTTCGTCTTGGTAACCGTTGTCGCCAGCCTCAGAATCGGCAATCTGCTCGTCGTTGGTGGGAGTCTTATTTTTCCTGGCTTTCTTCGTAGGGCGTTTTGCGGCAGGTTTCTTTGGCAAAGAGGCCCTCTTCTTAGCCGACTTCTTGGGCGTGGAAGCCTGAGGTTGTTGAGCGGGAAATGGGGTTGTGGGAATATGAGGAAAACCTTGGTACTGGGCATGCCCTGCGCTTGGGAAAAGTTGATGTTCGTGAACATTGTGCAGGTTCTCTGATGCAACGTTTAGAGCCTGCTGCTGGGGATTTGCAACCGGCAAGGCAAATGATGCGAAGGGATCAACCTGGCCATAGTTGACATCTTGCAGTGGTTGACCAAAGGCAACGTTGGGGCCCGTAAGATCAACGTTGTCGCTTGTGAGATCAACAAAGTTCTGATGATTCTCGCTCGCAGGAGAGAAAGATGCCGACAAGTCACCAAAATTGTTGTTTTCGATTCCCCAGCCAGCTGAGAAGTCTTGGACAGGAGAGATGTTGAAAGAGCTCGGTGAATCACCAGCGTTGCCAGCGGGAGAGGTGTTGAAATTGTTGAGCGAATCCGCGACGGGAGTGGTGTTGGTAGAGTTGTGTGAAGTCTGGCCGGGAGAGTTGTTGAAAGATGTTTGCGGAGTCGCGGCGGGAATGATGGTGAAAGAGTTGTGCGAATTCTGGACAGGAGTGTTGTTGTTGAAGAGATCATACGAGTTGTCGGCACGCGGAGTCATCAAAGACACTGACGAATTGGCGCGGCTCTGATGGGCAACTTGCGACGTCTGATCATGGAAGAGGTTCTCGGATGGCCAGTTGACGGCATTCTGAGAAATGACGTTCTGCTGCTGCTGCTGCTGCTGCTGCTGAACCTGGAGATCGCCAAAGTCGTCGAAGTTGAAATCGTCATTGACAGACATCATCAAAGCCTGATCAAGCTCAAAGTCCTCAAGGTTCAAATCGCACAGCGGGCTGTTTGAGGTTCCCATGGCATTCTCCTAGATACCATGGGGACCCAATTGCTGCTGGGCATTGAACTCAAAAGAGTTGTTGGTGATGTCAGGGTGAGTGGCTCCCTGCTGCCAGTTCATCTGCGCCTGTTGGGGATGATACATAACCTTCTGGGGTTGTTGCAAGTTGTGGCCATGCTGCTGGGGGTGCTGAAAGACTTGGGCATGCTGTTGAGGAGACTGTGACGGTTCAAAGTACTGCTGAGGGAGATCGCTCTCCTGAAAGGTTTGCGCAAAGACCCGACGCTGTCCGCGATGCGGGGCCTGCTGGACTGGTGAAGGCATCTGCATCTGGTAGTTGCCAGGCTGCATGAATAGATTCTGAGGTTGAGGTCCTCCAAATTGCTGCTGAGGCAATTGACCTTGCTGGCGCAATTGGCCGTGCTCAAATTGCTGCGGATGCTGCTGCATTGCGAGAATGTTGTACGATGTCGCAAAAGGTGGCGAGTTGAAGCAGAAAATGCGACGAGAAATTGGAGAGGAGAATGGAGAGACAGTTACTGTAGAAAGGCAGTGAAGAGACGGAGTTGATGGAATCAATTGGGATTCAAGATGGTGATTGAATGGGTGGAAAAAGTTGAGATGGTTGGTGGTGGTCGAGTTTGGGTCCAAGTGGTTGGTGATGGATGAAGCGAGGAAGAAGTTTGGGAGAAGAGAGGAGGGGTCGGGGCCGGGTTGAAATAGTAAAAAAAATTCTGTGTGCCCTGTGCAGAAATTTTGCGTGGAGCCTGCGGCCAAGTCGATGTTGGAAATGGTGTTGAGGCCAAAGTAAGTTGAAGGTGAGGTGGTGGTGAGAAGTGATGGGTTGGTGATGTTGAAGCCGACGGCTGACCCGAAGAGTGTCGTGATATCAAACTCGCACACATTGGCGGCACAGCTAGAATAGAAGGCAGTGGCTCCACATGCTTTGACTTGAGCTAATTATCATCCAATGTTTAGGGACAGACTCTTCACTTTGTAAGACGAAGAAGAATATGTTATTGCAAGAGTCGCTATTTCGCTAATGGTGATATCGAAAGATGAAAGAAAGTCTACTCGATCAACCACCGTTGTCCCTCTATGCCCTTTTGATGGCTTCCTACCTATCAGTGACGGGATACGAGATATAACCATGGCATCGTGCTTCTTCCATCCCAAATCAAAGAAGAAAAACCCACCCAGAAACCTCAAAGCTCAAATCGTTCCTCCTCCGGGAGACTACATCGAAACGCAAGGTTGGCCGGCCGCGCCTTGGCAATTAGGAGCATTCACTGTGCTTCCCGGCGAGGAATTCTCGTTCCTCCTCTTACGTTACCGTTGAAAAACAGAGCCCTTTTCGTTCTCGCTTTTCCACCCCCAACACACAAGCGTTCAGTTCGCACTGCCCGCACGACCCGCACCCAGGTCCCCAGAGACAAAACATATCGAGGAAAAGATTTTCTTCCTCGTCTCCATCACCTTGCCCGCGGTTCGCTCTGGGAAGAGGCCATCTCGACATATCGATCACCGAAGAGGTCGTCTACGTCCTCAACGTCGTCGTTCTGGTCCTGATCCTGATCACGTTCCGCGCAGATAGGCATCGGTTCGCTCTGGGAAGAGGCCGTTTCGACATATCGGTCGCCAAACAGGTCGTCCTCATCTTCAACGTCGTCGTTCTGGTTTCTGACGAGGGAAGGTTGAGGAATGGGCGGAGGCGAGGTTTTCCTGGAGCGGGCCGCCGCCTCGAGACGCTGTCCAAAGTAGTCGGTCGAGGAGCCCGTGGAGCCGTTAATGGGGTCTTGTTGGCCGACTGGCGAAGGCTCCCGAGGTAGCGTCGGCTGTTGTGCCGCTTCAGCCTGCGCTTGCTGTTGTCCAGGTTTGGGCTTGTTCTTACTACCCTTCGGCCTCCCCGGACTCCGCTTCTTTGGAGGGCCGTCCTCCGGATCATTGGAGGAAGTTGTTGTTGCTTGTCCTCCACAGTTCTCCGGATCAGCGGTAGGTCTCTTTCTCTTCCGGCTGGTCTCCTTTTTGGGGGCTTGGGGAGGTTTAGGTGTCTTGCGCGCTTTGCGGGGCTTGGGTGCCTTTTTCTTCGCGTCGTTCTCATCCCTCCATGCCAACCACGCAAGACGCTCTGCCTCCCTTTGGGCCTTCTGCTCCGGCGTCGTGGTTTCCTCTTCCCTCGCCACATTCCGTACGGACTCTTGTAGAAGAGCGAGCCATTGAGCGTAAACCTCATCTTGCGAATCTTCCGAAGACGAAGACATGATGAGAACTGTCAAGATCTAGAGAAAAGGTACCAAGCGTTAACCAGAGCTGGCCACAGAAAGCGAGGAGTCGGTCCTAGCAGAGACAAAGAGAAGGGCAAAGGAGAACTGACGACTAGAAGAAGGAGAAGGAAAACACCAACGGCGAAGACAAGCTCAAGGAGGAAGGGTAACAGCGGCCACGATGTCGATGAAGCAAAGGCCGACCAGGACTTTGAGTTGAGCAACAACGCGTATGTCGGTTGTCACCGTCGTCGCTGTCGTCGGTTCAGGGGGGTGGTGTATCATTCGCGTGAAGACAACAACCGATGAGTGGGGTGTCATCCGGGTGAAAATAGGGGATGGGTAATTGCAAGAGAACTGATCGACGAGACAGAGCGAAGGGAGAAAAGACGCATGATACATGGTGGAAGAAACGATGATACTGAGTGGCATGAAACTGGCATTCACTTGAGCTGTGCAAACCTGAAGGGATCTCCAAGGTCACAGATGCAACAATACGGGACAATAACAGACAAAAGCAAGAAGAATAAGCATAGGACCTTGATGGCCCGCAAAACACAGGTTCCAAAGATTGAAGCTCTCACGGTGAATGGTTAACTTTAGGTTTTTGCTTACCTACTATGTGGGGATATCGACCAGGAGATATCAACGACCGACAGCCGATAACGGATGATCGAGGACCAAAGCAAAAGCTTGAGGGTCCAAAAGGGATAGTCCTGTGATGGAGGTGAAGGATCGTGAGTGTTGAGTGTTGTCGTGGATAGCAACGATGCTGCGAGGCCGACGACAGCGAGATTGGTGATGAATGACAGAGATAAAGGATTTGGTGGTGATAGATCAAGATTGAACAAGCACAGTAGACGGTAGAGATGGCTTATACTATTTGAAAGATACTCAGTAACAAATGGTGTCTTTTGGAACCTAAGTCTGAAGCTGGATAGAGAAGAAGAAAAGAGAGGAAAAAGACGGAGAGCAACATCGAGGAAGAGCGAGACTAAATAGCCCTTCCAACAAGCACATGTTCTTGGCTGACAACATCAGGAAAGGACTATTAAATCTTCATGCCCGGGTTAATAATTTATGTCAGGTATGTCTCTGCAAAAGAAACAAGATGTAGATGGAAGCAATTGCAGGCGATGACGAGGCATTCGTGATAATGCAAAGAGGACGGAGTTGCGGTTGACTCCCTTACCAGCCCTGTCAGCAGGAAAGACGAGATATCATGCTTCTCTTGCCGGGAAAACATGCAAGAAGTTCGAGGGTAGGAAGCCTACGAGTGGGAGATGGCTATCATGGTACTTTGGTCTAGGAAAGAAATAATGCCTTGTCATATGATGGTTGAGAATGGGTTCATTGTTGAAGCGAACAGCAAATACTGGGGAAAGCACCACGTTTCTCTTGGTTTTCATGTAGGGGATGACGCGGAATGTTGATGAGGTGCGTCGACAATGAGCAGGAATATTAGGTTAATGTCCGGGCAGCAGAATTAGGAGGCTGCGGAAGGCATGACTCTATCTAGAAGCTTTCGAGACGGCTGGCAACGATGAGGCAGTTGTTGAGGCAGTTGTAAATGCACGAGAAGGGGCTGCAACAACGTATGGGGGTCTGGCCTGGAGCGACAACGAGGCCCGGTGTTAAGGAAAGGAGGCGAGGATAAGGGCGAGCACTGGAAGGGCACTAGGTACCTCTGAACTATCCCCATAGGCCAGGTGTTGACTACTGAGAGAAGGGTTACTAAGAGATAGCATCGGTCTGAGCACTGTAAGAGCCCCTATTGACCTTAAAACGATAGGGCTACCCGCTACTCTACACCCTCAAGGGGGGCCCGGAGATGGGAAACCGCTGGATCGGTTGACAGAGCACCTAGCATGGGCAGGAAGCTCCCGACACAAGAGATGGAAGTTTCCACAAGCTTTCTCCATCAAGAGCGCTTCTGGGACCACTAAGCGTAAGCTTTCCGATGCTGAACATTGTTGACCAGCTGCTAGAAGTGTCATGGGAGGCTTCAATGACGGGTTCGGGGAGGAAGGTCGCTCCATCGGACCTGGGAAGCCACGAGACCCACTCTCAGAACATAATACTACACACGGTAATTTACCCCCCAAACTGCTTTTTGGGGGTGAAGCAAAGAGATTTGGGTGGCCACGGTGGCCATTGATTACGAGCGGTAACAGTACCTGAACGTACCGGACGCACGGCATGACGAAGAAACTCCTGGAAGGTCCGTAGGATGCGTGAGACCATCGGTGTCGTGGGCGTCGACATGCTTTCATGAATGATATTGCGGCAAGTCCAAAGGGAAACCGCACCCACAATGTTCAGATCATCAAGGATCAATGTAGCTGCTTAAACTGACGACTGCTTAACTCTTCCTCTCGTTGACCTAGATGTTGTACCCTTGGTTTTGCATCAATGGCAAAAGCTCCTGCCATCTCTTGAGTACTTTTTTTTTTTTTTTTTTTTTTTTTTCCCTTTTGGAACACGGAACCCGATCCCCAACGTGCATTCATACCTCCGAGAAAATCTGTCAAGCACAATCACACACACGTGAAACAGTGAGAGGGACAACTGGAACGAAAGGGAATCGTTAGGACATAGTGCTTCAAATACAATAGCCTACAGAAACGTGACAATGTCCCGCGCCTCCAGCGGTGGCTTTCACCAATACCGACGTCAAGTCAAGTGCAAGTGGCTCCCCGACCTCGCTGCAGTGGTAGCCAAATGGAAACCACAAACCCGCATCGCTCGACGACGGATAATTGCGCGACCAACATCGAGGATGCGACTACGAAGTTCCGGAACACCATAACGTACATGAAAATTGACATCAGCGCTCCGAATAGCTGTCAACGCAATCACATGCCAAAACTTGATCAGCGACGATGTTTTGTGGCATTGTGCTGGTCCAGTATGGTCGGCGAGCGGCCACCATCAACAAACTCCTGAGCACTGCTTTCGCAGCATTACTGAGCAGAAAGATCGGAATCATACATTAAACAAGGAGAATCAAAGACTGGCAGAGGAGCGGAACTCAAAAACCGCATTTTCCCACCTTTTTCGCCGATAATGGTGGTGATATTTGCGAGTGTCGCATCTTTCCAGTCACGACCTGACGTTGTTTTCGAAACCATGAGCAAGGATCTGACATGGAATCAACCAGCGGGAGACATAGACAGGTACCCGTTCCCGCAGTGTGCGCACATGATGACATCTGGTCATGGTCTCTCGTCGCAAGACCTAATATTTTGTTCTATTCAACCGATAAGTCTGGGATGCACTGGTCTAAACTACAAGACGCTGCTTCGGATGATACTAGTCTATGAAGACATCAAAAGCAAAATAGACTGACCGAAAACCAGCAGTCAGTTTGTGGTCTAAGCGATCATGTCTTTCAGAAAGAGACCGCAGCGCCATGGGACGGCAGGACCTTGGACACAGGGTGTCCGCATCCATCCCGACTTCCTCCACTTCCACTGCGCAGCCCAAACATATGTGTCACGGGGAGACGTCCAGAAAAGCTTATTTCCCTGAGAATGGGTGAATACAAAACTGCGGGAGAGGCCTTTGGGCGGTCTCCTATACGAGACACACGATCTGCTCCCCAAAACCGCCTCGGTCGCGGTTGTTCATGTTGTAGAAGTTGCCGTTGGCTGTTAGGGAGCAATGGATCTCGAGCGTCCACGGAATGCGCCGAGGCGCGGTTTCCCTGTACGTGGATGCTAGTTGCAGTCATGCCGAAGTGGTCCTGAAGCTGTCGTTAAAAGGTCTGTTATGGTTGCTCGAGGCAGGTAAAAGGCAGCCGTGGTCGCAGCGATGATTCGAAGACAGAGAGAGCGTTTTCCGGGGTGATAAGCCTTTTTTTTCGTTGCTGGCAAAGAGTTGAAGTGGGTGTTTCGTCGATAATCTTCGCAGAGCAGCGCATGCGTCCACTGTCGAAGGTGGGATGTGCTCTTGGTTCCACGAGTTGGTCAAGGGTTAGGGAAACTGTAGATGTCCAGAGCTGACGGGCTGGCAGCGTGGAGATGTCGAGCAACAGATCTCCAGCTGGCAGAGGCTGGCTGGATTACATGCCACAGATTATTGTAGCTGGCTGCTGTAGGGTCGTAGCTCATCGCGAGTGTTCGGAAAGCAGTCAAGGACGGAAGAGGTCATTGCCGGGTCACCTAGAAAACCTTTCTAGTCATCTGCAGTAACCTCTCGTCGATTGGGATGTCTCGAAGTCGGGATATAATCGATCGTCTTCGCCGGCTGGCGTTATGCGCTCTCGACCGTCGACCGGGACGCTGCGTCCTATCCGCCGAGACACTAGAGGGACTGTCAGAGAGAGAGAGAAAAAAAAATCGAGTCTATTATCATGTCTATCGAAGGAGATTTCGGTGTGGCGGCGGTGGTCAGGTTCTCGAGCGTAACTCAATGTCCCTTCTTAGCCTCAAAGTATATTGAAAGATTTTTGATAATGGGCGTCTCAAACTTCTTAGGTCGTTGTCGTCGGTACGGCCGCAATCAGGCTCGGTGTGGTCCAAAGTCATCTGCTGGCAGGATGACGATGGCCCTTGAACTGTTAGGAAAGCATGCTAAGACTGGTAAGTATGCTAACAACCGCCCTATGTGTCTAATATGGTAATCTGTACGGTTACGAAAGCTCCCGTTGTGAACCTCGGCGAAATAAGGCCCATTATGGCTTCAGGCCAAGTTCCTAGACGTCGGCCTCGGCGTGCGAGCTCGACAAAAGGCCGTGTTGAGTGCTGTTTCTCGAGATATCTGAAAGTGTCGAGGATGACGAGAACCTCTGTTAGTGTAACGTCACGGGGTTAACTGACCTTGGTTCTGACAGAGACCGTAACGGTTCCGTAGGTTTCACCCACCAGTCCAGTGAAGAGTGTCGGCGTCAGGCGCTGGGACTTGCCCGACAGTGTCGCGGAAGCGCTGAAGCCCTCTCGGAGCCTACTGGCCACGGTGGCTCACATGGTGGAGAAAGGTTTCATGGCCCATGTAAACGGGCATGATTCCGGAGACAGAGCGGTTAGTCATATTGCAGTTATTTGATGTGCTGTTGGGAAGAAGCAGAGGTGAGGCCATGCGAGGTAAGGCATGGATGGCGATACGGTATTGTACTGCAGTGTTGTCAACTTGCACCAGCAGGGTGTACAGAATAAAGAGCAAAACACTGTGATGGAGAGTTAGGATAAAGGGCTAGCCAAATAGCCAGTTCAACCCAAAAAAGGGGATGGAGAAAAAGTTATTGATGTTGCATTGTATATTTGCAAATATCAGAGGAAGGTCAAAAGAGAGTCGGGGGAAGTTAAATAGAAGAGTGAAAGTCGAGTGTCCTTGTTGCATATTGCTTGTGCCTGAATGATCAAATTTCTTGTAGGGACTCGGCAGGCAGCCAGTTCGATTGTCGTCGGTAGGTTAAGTCGTTGTTGAGACACAAGCCACACTCCAGCCACACTCCAGCCATGACCGCTGATTGCAGCCAAACAGTCAGCGGGTTCGATGAGGCCATTCCCAGCTTGAGACTGCTCAAAAGGGGCGCGATGGTGTGGGAAAAATACAGGTAGGGCGGGGCAGACATCAAGAAGTTTGGGCCCGTAGATAGGTTGACGGTATCCCAAGTGTTGGATCACCATCTTGACCTCATGCCTCGACTTGAAAGTGCTGTAGTCTCGGCTCCAAGAGGCCATTGCCCGTTGCTTGAGAAAGGTGTTGAAGTGAGCGGTACTTGAAACCAAAGGATTCGGTAATACGATCGTATCCTGGTGTGCACAAATGAATGGGAGGAATGAGCAGTAATGTTGCTGAGCGGTCCGGTACTGAATGGTGAGAACAGCGACGGTTGTTTGGTGGTTTGGGTCGACGTTTTCGTGGTGATTCGGAGTGGTAAAGCCTTCCGGGTTCTGTAAGGCTAGGGAATCAATACCAGTCAGGCTGCAATGTCCATGAGGCTAGCCTTGGGCAAGTAACGGGCGCTTCTGGTCTTGACGAGTAGATTACTCTTACAAGTCTGCGTAGACAGTCAAGCCGGAAGCAGCGACCGATGAGAGAAATGCCATAGTTGATTCTGCAACCTATAACTGCGGTCCTTGACCGAGAGGTATGTATCCTAATGTCTTTTTTCGCCGACTTCCAATGTGATCATTCTCCCTGCCATTTTCCCGATGAATAAAACCGAGCGCCTGATTATTCCTCTGATCATACGGATACAATCCCAAAACTATACTCTAACAACACCAAACATAATTTCAGATAACCTCCTCGACCATCTTCCTCTTCACTCCCCCAGTAAACACCTGACCGACAGGACCAGCCAGCATGTCTTCAGGCACGGCAATCCTGCTTCCGGACTTGTTGTTGATCCAGCGGACAAAGGTGGGGTCGGCCTTGGGCGGCTCGGCATCGCCTGCCGGAGTCTCGTCGCCGTTCAGAAGGGCGGCTTTACGGTTGGTCTTGGGCGCCTGTTTCTTCAGAAGCTTGTTGATCGTTTCCATCTGTTTCGCGCGGTGAGTGGTAAGTAGCTGTGCAGTTCACATCTATGAGGGGAAAAACAAGAAGTTGCGTACCTTCACCTCCTCGTTGCGCTTCTCGCTGAGGTTCCTCCTACGGCGAGCCATCTCGGCCCTTCTCATTGACAGCTCCTCAGCTGTAAAAACCTTCTTGGCTTGAACTTCGTCCGAGAGCTTCATGTACTCGTGAGACGCAACGCCAACCTTGGCTCGCTGACGAGCCGTCATCTTGGAGATATCCGGCGTGCCGCCACGACTACCGCCCTCCTCATCGCTATCCAGCTCAACTTCCTCTGCTTCAGCGTCATCCTCGGCGACCTCAATCTCGTCGCCATCGGCATCCATGTCTTCGTCCTCTTCCTCCTCGGCTTCCTCCGCATCGTCCTCGGCCGCAGCCATGTCCTCCAGTTCTGGATCCTCGGGCTCGCTTTCAAGCTCGCTGAGTTCGTCGTCGTCATCGTCATCGTAGTAATTTGTCTTGGGAGCAGCCTTAATCGTCGTTGGGGAGCTAGAAGGCACCTTTGCTGTTGCTTTCGCTTTATTGGGTGATGTCGTTGCTTGAACCTTGGAAACCGTGATGGTGGGTCGAGCAGGTGCGTCGTCCATGTCGACATCGCCATCTTCATCAACGTCCACATCTTCGTCTTCATCATCCTCTTCTTCCTCCTCCTCCTCCTCTTCCTCCTCCTCCTCCTCGTCGTCGTCCAAAACGGGCGCGTTGTTACTAACTTCAATCTCGTCCGCCTCTTCTACTTCCTCGTCGTCCTCCTCCTCTTCCTCCTCCATCTCGTCGTCCTCGTCCTCGCTGCTCTCAACAACGTAGCTCTTCTTGGCTCCTGGCCTGTTACGCCTACTAGCCGCAATGCCGGAGCTGGAGTTGCCGCTCGTGGCCTCTCGTAGCTTGTTGGAGGGTACCTTGACAGTCAACATGTTATGGCCGTTGGCGTCACTCCGGCTACTAGCTGGAGACGAGGGTGGGCGGCGCGCAGTGGTTGACCGGGATGATGACATGGTGCGCTCGGGGGTTACTCTGTCGGAATGGATCAGATCAGTAATCAAAGCGTTGGCGCGCTGGGCCGCTGAGCGGCGCGGACGTGAAGACATGAATGCTGGTGTAGAGGTATGGTCTATCTTGTGTAGTAGAGTTTTGGAAAAGGATGGTGTTATAGAAAGGAGTATCGTCTGAAACCGAGAGACACGAGCAAATGAGATGGGTCGAGGCGAGATGAGGCGATGTGGCTAATGACTGGCTCTGGTGATCCTGGGCAATGTGGCAGCGAGGTTTGTCATGTGTCTGTCTGAACTGGTCCAGGTGAAGTTCGACGAGCCGGGAATTTGGGTGGCAATGCCTTGTTGAACCCGGCGTTGGTTCCTTTGGGCACACGGAAGGGGGGCGCCTTGAATGACCAAGACCCTGATTATGAACGGGCTATGTTCTTTGATGGTGGTGTGTCGCTATGATTTGCTGATTTGATAGAAGCCGAAGTTGGGAAGACTCTTTGGCTGGCGAAGGAGGTGGGATATGGAAGCTGGCAGTTTGGTGTTTGTGTCTTTTAGGAAGTGCTGTTGGTTGTTGCTTGCGTGGGGTGAAGTGAGGTCCCGTCTGTCCATGGGCCCCTCTCTCCGCTTTGTAGGTGGTTGTTGTTGTGGTTGGATGACGCCGCCGTTGTCGTTTGGGTCGATAAGCCTTGTCATGCAACATAACTGTGCAGCAAGCACGTCTAAGAGACGGATATTGACGTCGCCTCGCTTCTTCTTTGCTTCCTCTTGGCTTCCAGCCTTTGCCGTTTTGCGGACAAGGCGCATCGGCATTGCCTTGACATTGGGCCAGAACCAGACTGTCGGTTTCACAAGGATAACTCCAGCGTCTCGTCTCGTTGGATGGAAATAGGTCGGGAAACCTTGTTGGAACCACAGTCTTTATTGTGTCGTTTGCGACATCTCGATTGTTTCTTGGATCCTCCCTTTGCGGTAAAGCACCCTCCCCCATATTTCCCCAATTTTGACTGCCGTGCTGACCATGCCTTCCAGTCACGATGGTATTGTTTTCATCCTCATTCTCGTCCTCGGCTCTTTCTCGACTCGGCTTCCAACCCCATGATCGATACGAAAGAGACCAACATCAGAAGCGACATGTCGCGTGTATGAACGATTCACTGCACTTACGATGATGAGATTCAAAATAGGCAGTCGAGCTACAGCTATAATCAAGTCGGATGGGCGTAAAAAAGACCTGCGAACTGTTGGCCCTGCTGACTACTTTCCGAGATCAAATGTTGGCGATGAGGGTGGCGATTCTCTGTTGAGAATGGTGACGTTCCGCAGACAGGACAGCAATGTCGTTGTTGCCTATCCTATCTTGATATCTAGCAACGCTACCTCTATACCTGCTGTGATGGTAGAGGCGGGTCTGGGCTCTATGGTTGGCGCTGAGTCGTAAAGCCGGATCGAGGGCGTCTCGCGAGGATGGCACGTCGGAAAGGATTGCAGAATCGCTGAGCTTCAGAAGACTCAATGGGAAGTAGATATCAGGGATCAAGGAGAGAGGTCGATATGAAGTATGGGGAAAGAATGGAAAGAATACCGTAATGTTTCAATATCGAATTATCCAGCTTCTGACTTCACGTCGACAAGTCGAAGTCGCGACCGTGATGTTGACTGTCTCCACCCACAGTCCCCGTCGGTCCCGCCTGGCCGCAGGAGGTCCAGTGGATGCCCGGTCAGTGGGCTCGGCCTTTGCCGGGGGGTGGGTAAAGTGGGTCTCTGCGCATTCAACCCCTGAGCCTACCGCTGGAACCCAGCTGAAAAAGCTCAGACCAACAGCACCAGATAGCGACACCCATGCCTCGGTAACAGGAGACGACAACCACGGCTGGAGGCGCTGAAAGACCAAAGTTAGGTTAATTCCCAGCCGCCAGCCATCAACGGCATCGCGAATTCACCCATACAATCCGTCCATTCAAATTCATCCATCCATCACCATCCTCGACTCCTCGCCGAACCGTTCAGATCACCTGGAGCAGCATCATACCCATCGTACAGACAGTTACAAGAACTGAATTCAGTCATTCAACTCCACCGCCATGGGCGACTCCGAAGAACACAAGGGCGCCGACACCCTGGCGTGGGAGAAAGCGACAGCCGACAACAACAACAACAACAACAACAACACATCTCAACCTCAGACGCAGGCTCAGGCCCCGTCAACATCGACATCCTCAAAATCCCAGCCCGCAGCCCAAACCTCTTCAGAAGCGCCAAAAGTCTCAGTCTCCCTCGAACAAGCCAGGATATTCCTCCAGGATGCGCAGGTGCAAAAGGAGACGACAGAGCGCAAGGCCGCCTTTTTGAGGAGCAAGGGCATCTCCCAGAGTGACATCGACGAACTGCTGAAGGAGGATTGGATTCGGGCGCAATCAGATGCAAGTCATTTCTTGTATCTCAGTGTTCCCAAAGACAAGCTGCTAACATGGACATCTACAGATGAGAGAAATCCCCGTCACCAACGAATCGTCATCAACGGCTTCGTCAAAGGTGGCTGCTGCGATAACAACCACAACCACCCTCCCCAAGACAAAAGAACAACATGTGCCCATCATCACCTACCCCGAGTTTATGGCCGAGACGCACCGGGCGCCACCGCTAATAACCATGAACGGCGTCCTTAACACGGCCTACGCCTTCAGCGGTATCGCCGCCCTCGTCTACGGCGCCAACAAGTACGTTGTCGAGCCCATGCTTAACCAACTCACCGAGGCCCGCGTCGACTTCCACGACAACGTCAAGGACAACCTGGACCGGCTGGTCGAGAAGCTCGAGCAAACCGTGTCGGAGCTGCCTCCGGGCTACAAGGCGTCAGACGGCCGCGCCGGCCGCTACAAGGACGCTTACGACGACGATGACGACGACAACATGAGCACGTACGAGGACCCGACCGAGATGTTCCACCGGGACGTTGGCATCCAGACGTCGCCGCCGCCCACGCCGTCGGTGCGGGCCATGTCGCTTCCTTCGCGCCCGGGCACGGCCATGTCGGCTCGGTCTCTGTCGGAGATCTACGAGGCGCACTCGCGGGCCCAGTCGCGCGCGGCGTCGGCCATTTCCGAGCGGCACATGAACCACACGCAGAAGCAGCAGAGGCGGCTGGCGGAGCTGGTGACGTCGGTCAAGGAGATCAACGAAGGGCTGACGTCGCAGTGCGAGGACTACGACGAGCTCAGGACAACGGTGGACGTATTCCACGGCGAGCTGGAGCAGTTGGCGCTGCAGCACTACGACTTCACTGGAGGCTTTTCGTTGTACGGGTATACCAATCGGAGCGAGCCCAACGATGAGATCAAAAAGGCCAAAGAGAATATCAGACGGGTCAAGGGCGTGTTGCTCACCACGAGGACATTTGCTACGCCTGCTCCTGGTGCCTCGGGGCGGTAGGAACGCATGAGGCAGCAAGTGGCAGATGCGCGGAATGCTCGACGTGATGGGAAGAAAGAAGGGGCGGAGTAAATTAATGATGCTTTCCTCCCGTCAAGTTGGATATGGAGCAAAAGCATGGGATTATTCACACATGATGCTTTGAAGATTCAAAGCAAGCAAAACGCCAAGGTGTAATCGGTAGAAGTAAGTATTAGCCAGCGGTTAATGACATAATTGTTGTTCTCTTACAAGTCGAACCACATTTCGACGTTCGCCTCCGATCCCAAAACTTGGAAATGGGCTGCCGGAATAACACCCGCAATTTCAATGGGAAAAAAGCCCAAATGATCTTGACGTTACTTTGTCAGCAACCACAAGTTACACCACATTCTTACAAGAAGTGGCTGTGAAAGTCGGCGAGGGCACTTGCTATAAAAGGTCCAAAAGTTACCAAAAAGTCGGTCACAGGCCATTTACATACCCGTAACATCGGCAGCTTCTTCTCCTTGACGGACAAGTCTAATTGTTCGGGTTTTTGTCCGTCGAATGGAAGCATGGCATTTCTTTCCCGATAGTGACGACGGCGTGACATGAAAACTATGGTTGTCGTAGATTGAGGTTGCAGAAGTCGAGTAGTTACATAGTGCCATTCAGATGCAGATATGACCTGAGAGCAAGCATCCTCAGGAATCTTGGAGTCGATGATAGGTGCCCAATCATGGCGACTCTTGCCACCTTTCTTTTTTGTCTTAGTATCCAAGGTTCCCTTTCGCAACTTTATTACAAAAACAGAATAATTTGTCAATTCTCACTGCACACATTCCTCGTCAACCTGTTCCCCAGATTTGTCAACTCAGAGTGCCAGCTGCCAGTGTTACACTGCATACAGTACCTCACCGCATTTGCGCAAATGCAATTCTGCAGACTGCTCTTACGCCAAACCATTGATTGAACAGTGCGAATGGAGATATCTCCGTGCAGCGGGTGAAGCGAACAGTTCGGATTGTGAACGAATCAATACAAAGGGGAGTGCACAAACGAGAAACAGGAACGAGACCGATGGCAAGGTGAGACTCTTTTCTTTGGGGTCTGGGTATAGATGGGAATCGCACTTATGGTGATAGCTACACGTATGGCCAAACCCTCACGTCACACGACAAGCCCAGAAGACTGTCCCAAATGTTGCACTTGCGCACTTGTGGTGCCAGATCCCGTAACGACCGAGATTCCATTGTGACGATGGGGAACGGTCAGTCATCAATGACAATGACTCGGGGGGCTGCCGTCCAGGTGCCGTGTCCTCATGCTACCTCGGTACCTACATAGTAAAGAGAGGGGTTCATTATCTAGGTAGGGTGATTCACACGAACATCCTACGGTACACTAGAATCCAGCAGCTCAAAGTGAGGGTATTGCGAGCTGAATGTACTACCCGGACTATTGTGCTGATGGATGATTTCCAGGTTACGGTAGTGTAGTGTACTGTACCCAAGCGGTGATACATTTCAGTAGTGTACAGCGATGCCCCATTGATTAGCGGGGAAAAGAGCCAAGATGAAGAGAAAAGACCCCACCCAACGTGGGCCAAGCATCTTGCTTTTTTCTTGGCAACCTAACCGTCCACCACATACTGCGTGCGGGTGGTGCATGGATTGATCGCGAAATTTGAATTGCGCAGACTTTTTGTTTTCTTTGCGACAAGGCGACCGAAAAAAAATACGAACCGAAAGCCCGGATCAGGCACAGGAATCCGACTTGCATTCGGCAGCCCCAGCACTCGCTCCCGAGACAGACTGACAGCCTCGAAACGGGAACTGAGGGGTAGCAGGAACTGACAACTGGCATCGACCAGATCCTATTCCATCACCGTCTTCGACTCTTCCACTTGTTGGTGTTTTTTATTTTATATTTAGTTCTTTTTTGGCATCGTCGCAAAAGCACAACAGCACATACCCTGCAGCGCAGGATACAGCTTGGCGCATACTGTACGAATCTCACAAGGCTGTTGTGCAGACCGTCGTCCATCGAGTCTAAAGGACAAAAGAGGCTCCCCATAACCTTCATACATATAGTTGAGGTCCGCTCCTACATCACACTGAGGTTTTCAAGAGAGGAATATACACAAAAATAACGGCTGCCAAGCTAAAAGTACGGAAGAGCAACCCGGCACCTCACCTCAAGCAGAACAGGATGCATAACGACGAGACGGTGATCTCAGATGTGCCAGACATGATCAATAAAGCGCCGATCATTCCTGGCCACTCACCCTCTCCGGCTGTGGCTGGCATGTCGGGGTCAGAGCACAACAACACCACCATTACCACCACCACGGTCACCACCGATACTGTCACCACCAACACCCCTACCACGACCGAGTCCGTGCCTAGGCCCGGGCCTGTTGGACATGGGACTGAATATGGTGTTCAGGTTGCCGGGCGTGTCACTGGCTCTGCCTCTGCCTCTGGCATTCACGATGACCAGATTGGTAACGTCCCCGTCACTGGCATTTCCTGGGACCAAGCTGGCGCATCTGGCATTTCTTCCTCCTCGTCTCCGTCACAGCAACAACATCAGCAGAAGAAGCAGCAGGAAAATGAACATGGGTTGAACACCACCATTTTTGCCAGCAACAGCTTAAAAACATCAACCTCCACGGAAGAGCAAGCAGACACTCTCAAGAGCAGTTCAGTTCCCAACACTGGCACCGACAAGAGTGAGTTACCATTTTTATCTCTTCATCACCTGTTAACACCCTGATGGGAACCGCACATGTCGTTTTATTTAGCTTCGTCAGGTCTGGACTCTAGCCTGTCTGCATGTCTTTGAATGTACACTGTAGACTTGGCCGCCACTGTTAGTCAAGGACCAGTCAGTCATCGTCCACTCATCGTCAGCCATTTCCAAGGCGGCACTGCCCGTTTTTTTTTCACTTTCTTTTTTTCTTGTCCTTCAATTTGATCTTATAATACACCAGATCTACCTACCTAATCTTGGCATATCTTCTTCTTTGTTGGACAACTCTCATTTAACATTTCCTGTTCCTCCTCTCCTGTCTGTCTATATCTCTCGTATCCTATGCCACCCGTCTTCAACAGGGATCCGGAATCTTGTTTGTCTAGCTTCCCCAACTTTTCACGGACCTCATTCGGCATTCATTACATACTTAAAAACCTTGTTTTCTCCGGAGTCCCACGTTGTCAAAAAGACGAGGAGAAAAAAAAAGGCAATGCGCTGATCGCTAACGCGTGGTCGTACTCCGGATCTTCCAGCCCCAGACGAGCAGCAGGACATCATACCACTTCGAGCCAAGCCGGCCCCGCATCAGCCAGACCATTCTGTAGACCACCCTATCGACCACCCTGGCCACTATCCAAAGGACCCCGGTGACCCCAGTGACGACCATCCGGTACAGACTAGCGAGTCTAACCGCAATCACCACCCCAGTTGCTGCCCGCGTGCTCAACCTGGCTCGCGGCCCCCCGCGTCGCCGTCGACTTATATAAGGTCGTCCCCCTTGACGTCGGAGCTCCCCAACGGTCCTGACGGTGGCGATCACGATTCATCCACCCAATCTAACCCTCAACCACCGTCTACCATGATTTTCGCCGACCTGTACAAGTCACCCAGGTCGCCCCTAAATAAGCTCAGGCACTCGTTTCCTCACCATCAGCCGGTTGTCCTACCACCCGACCTTGATGCCGACCTTGTGAGCAAAGACAAGGCGAAGCAGAAGGAAGCTGTTAGGAAATACCTTCTTGAGAAGATTCGAAATGACTGGGACTTCGAATGGGTACCTGTGACGCAATCACGTCCAACCGAAGCAGCAACAACCTCCAATGAGAAGCAGCAGCAAGAGAAGAGCGATATCGCTCAACCTCCATTAGACAACACCATCGCGCCCAAGGAGCATGGACCACCCAGGATAGCAGACGGTGCCGTAGCTCAGACCTTTGATGATGATGCGCCTCGGGATCCAGGAGAGGAGGCAGATTCGGAATCTGATGCCGAGTCCGTTTACAGCACGATATCAGAAGATCTCGTTCACTACCGTCCCCGGGCGGAATGGACCTCAGATCTCTCAGACAACGACGAGCCGCCAGTTCCCAGCACCTCCTCTCCTTTCCGCTTCGACAGCCCCGACGCAGTCGGAACCGCCGTCAAAAGCTCCCTGGAAGCAAAGCGGGCCAAGAGGAGGCGGGCAGTGAGAAAGGAAGCCTCGTGGAATCCCGGGTTGGCCTGCTTCGAAGCTCGCCGCGATGCCTGGACAGGCGCCAAGACATTCCGCGTCAAGCCCAAGCCGATGTGTCCCGCGTCGCCCACGACAACGATGTCGACGACGACCCGCCGTCTCTCCTTCTGGCGCCATCATCGCTCGTCCGAGTCGACTAGCGCTGCCGCCGTGGCGCACCCAGCCAGCTCACCACCACCACCAGCAGCAGCAACAACAAACCTCTCCGCCCCTTTGTCCCCCACGACCACGCGCAACTCCCAGCAAAGCGCCCAAAGCGACGCCGTATCCGACACCTCAGCCAGAGGAGCAGGAACAGCAACAGACAACAGCACCGTCCCCTCCACTTCCCCCACCTCACCATCTAAACCCGATACTCAGCCTGCCTACCCAGTGCAAACCCTCCTTCCACTCCCTCCTCCCCTCCTCCCGCCGCAAAACCCCATGCGCGCCTCCGTCACGCCCTCCATCTATCCCTCCCTCTACGACAAAATCATTGTCAACAACATGCAACCCTCCTGCCCCGTCAACCTGGCCGACGTGCTGCGCGCCTGCGTAGTAGGTTGGAAGCGCGACGGCGAGTGGCCGCCCCGATCGCAGTACACCAACGTTGCCGTTCCGCCCATGCTGGTGCCGAAACCGATGAGCGCTGCCGAGATTGCCGCGCAGAGGCAGCGGAAGGTGGCTCTCCAGAAACAGATGCAGCAGCAGAAGGAGGCGAGGGAAAAGGCGGCTCGGGAGGCGAGTGAGGTCCGCGAACGAGCTCGGGAGGCGGCTAGGTTGCAGAGGGAGGAGAGGGGGCAGAAGGCGAGGGAAGCGAGGGAACAGAGGGAGGAGAGGGAGAAGCAAGAGAGGATGGAGAGGGCGGCGGAGAAGCAGAGGCGGAAGAGCGATGCTACGGCGCAAGGGGGGGCGCCGGGTGCGGGGAGAAGATCCAGTATTGTGGCGTTGGTGGGCGGGGTGGTGAATCATTTGACGAGGGTGCCGACGGCGGAGGATAGGGACCGGGAGAGGTCGGGGAGTCAGAGTGATGAGAATCTTGGAGGAGGAGGAGGAGGGAAGGGCGGGATAAGGAGGAGTTTGCAAAAGGTGTTTTCGTTGGGGCATGGTGGGGGTCAGGGACACCAGGCTAATGGCAATCCTCTTTCTTAAAAGGAGAATGAGGGTGGATGTGAATGGAAATGGCCGAGATGGGAAAGAGTTTATACCACAAGAGAGATGAGAGCATTGACCAAGGTGAAGATGGCACGTCAACGTTTTCTTTGGAAATGAATGGTGTGTGCGTGTGTGTGTTTATGACATGTCATGACATGGGGTAATGGGAATGGAATGTTTGGAAGTTTGAAAGAAAGGGCAATCGGAAAAGCAAGCTTAAACTGATACCCAAGGTCTTTTATTAATTGAATTTTTTTTTTTTTTCTTGGATGGAACCACGAAGCTGGGCGAGCATGGAGAGAGAACAGGGAGGGAGGGAGGGGATAATAATGGGCATAGTCAGGGTGAAGGATTTAATAACCTGCTTGATGACTAGTTCCGACTACTCGTGGGTTGGCGGACCTAGTTAGTCTCTCAAACTGCTAATGAAGCCTATGATTACTTTACCACCCGATCCATCAACCATTTCGTCTTCATTTCGATGCGGCTAGAGGTACCGACCTGTCTGGACACAATCGTTTACTAGAGGTAGGTAGGTCAGGCCTCGGCAGGGGGAGGCGGTTGATAAGAAAAGTCGTGGCTAAAGTCTTGTTCTTTTCCTCCCTCAAGTCGCAGAAAGCCCAGAGACAGATACGCTGGCGACCCAGCTACGTAATTGCAGTGTTGTTGGTGATATGTCAGCTTCTTTGAACGTGAAATCTCGATGAACAGGGGACTAAACATCATGAAAACGGAAACGAGAGAAAGGTAGTAGGTAGCGAATAAACTCATCACTATGCATTTTTGGTGGATGGTACATAGTATCTTCTGATTGAGTAATCCTGCGATGCACATATAAGCATAAAACACGATAGAGAGAAAAGAAACCAACCGCCGCTAGATGCTACACCACCTAAAGATATATCATCATGCCAGAACCAATTCCATTCCCTTTCATTTCATAATAACCTAAACATTCATCATTCATACCGGTATTTATATTCATAACAAGGCCTTGAACCTCCTATCCCAAACCACCACTACCACCACCACCTACCCCCTCCCCCAAGCGCCATATTGCGTCCCACTCGCACCACTCTTCACACTCCCCGTCTGCCCGGGGCTCGCCAATTCACCAATCCCCATACCCTTCCCCTGCTGACTCCTCCCCAAGCACCCATAATGAACAACCGCATCTTCCCCTCCTGGCAAAACCGCCACGACGCTCCCACCCAACCGTTTATGACAAACTCCACAAACTCTCTCCTCCCCAATCACCACCCGTCTATTTCTTCCTCCCACTCTGCTTCCACCACCCGGCAGAACCGCTCCCTTCGGTAACCCATCGCCCAACAAGAGAAGAGCTTGGCTGGTAACTAACCCGGTCTTCCTCAGGCCTGCAACGACGAGGGTCTCGTTAACGATACTATTCGCGTTGCGCATGCGGCCGCGGAAGTAGGACTCGAGCTCGGAAACGGGCAGGTCGTCAGGGATCAAAGAGAGGGTGGAGGTGGCGGGCAGGCGAGAGCCGTGCTTCGAGAGGAGGTCGAGGGCGGGTGGCAGGTTGGGTTTGTGAGGGGAGGGAGGGGTCAGGTAGAGGGAGAGCAGGGTATGGTAGATGGAGGGGTGGGCTTCGTCTTGAGAAGGGTCTTCGGTGGAGGAGGGCGAGGTAATGGTGGTGGTGCCCGGGGGGTGGGAGGGGGAGGTGGGTTGAGGGTGTTCGGAGGATTTGTGGATGCGGTTGCAGTATCTGGATAAGAACGGATTGGTTAGTATGCATGGGATGGATTGGGGAAAAAGAACCCAAGGGAGCTTACTCTTCTGCTTTTTTGTAGTCTTTCATTTGGAAGACGTAAATTTCTAGGGCTTGTTTGTGTTGACCCATGTTACTAAGGACAACAGCTCGCGCTTCATAGAAGCGTGGGTCGTCTCGGGGAATGAGACTGAACGCTCTTCCGAGGCTGTACTGCCGACTGTCCTTCAAGAACTGTACCAATCGCTCCATGAGAGAGTCCCACTCTTCCTCCTTCCCTTGTTTTTTCTCCTCCCTGAGCTGTCTGATAAACAACTCGACAAGGCGGTTGTGAAACTCGGGAGTCATGTCGTTCAGCTCCGAAATGATATGCTCCAGGTATTGGATCTCCAAGGCTGTGTCGATGCCGCCCAAGAAGTGGAGGACCCGGGCTCTCGGGAGAGTCTCGGCATTCTCCGAGTCGGCGAGGAAAACCTCCATTCCCAGCTTGGGGTCTTTCCTCAAAGTCCACTCTGAGAATTCGAGAATGACGTCGATCATCTCAGGCGGGAGGCCTTGAAGATACAGGACCGTCCTTTGGGGACCGTGCAACGTAGGCGCCGCCTCATCAGGCTCGTCTGGCGAGCCAAACTTGCGAAGCAGATCTAGAGCCTGGCGATGAAGCTTCTTGCCGTAGAAGAAGTCAACTAGCTCGTTGAACCGGTTGTGCTCTACAAGCCTCTCGTTAACAACCTGTGGGTCGCAAAAGTTGGGGATTCTGAAAAGGGAGCTGGCCAATGTGGGACGGGAGTACATGAAGGCGCGGAACAGAGTGGTGTCGACAACTCTGAAAGTCTCCTGTAGATCCTTCTCAAGCTGTTCGTCATCCTCATCCTTGTGAGACATTAGGAGTGTATTGAACGCCTCCTCTGTGACCCCGTTTGCTGACTTGCGCGGCTTCAACTTTCCGGTCACTGGATCAATGACTCTCTGAAGTCTCGCTCTGGCTCCGGCCAGGTAGCTGTTCAGCTCCGAGACGGCTGTCATGAGATCCTTTTCGTCTTGGGCGCGTTGTTCCTCGGCCGTCTTGCCCTTGATGCTGGCCGCATCATCATCGACTGGGGCTCTTCTGGAAGAGACTATGGATGAGGTTTCGGGATCAAACTTCTTGCGACCGTGACCCATGAGGTACTTGGCAAACCCGCCTCCTTTCTGTGGCGACGATACCTCAGAATGCGGCTCATCCTCCTTGGGTGCATGATCTCCATTTGCTTTACCGTTAGGGGGCGCTTCGTGGTCCGACTCTTCCTGCGGCTCTTCAGGCTTCTTCTCATCAACGCCCAGCTCTCCCACAATGATCTTGGGAAAGAGTCTTAATACTCTCTCAGGCGGAGCATGGACCTCGTCTTCATTGAACAGGTCCATAGACTCGCGAAATTTCCTTTGACGGAAGAGCAGTTCGGCCTTGAGCATTTTGACTTCGCGCATGGTCTCAGTCTTGTTCTTGAGAAGAGCGTCCTCCAACATAGCCAAGATGCTAATGGCTTCGTCATACCTCTGGGTTTTTACCAGCTCGTCGATCTGGGAATCATAGTCCGTAGCATCCATTTTCCACACCACTCTTTCGCTCAGGACGTGGAAGCCCTTTCCAGCATGTGCCAGGCTGACCGTGGGTGGTGGGAAATGCAGAGAAGCGGCACCAGGGAGACTGATGGTCTGGAGCAGGTTCAGTGTGTCCGGATTCCGTACTTCGAGACTGCCCTTGGTCGGTGATTGTAAGGCAAGAATATAGGGGTAGCTATATCCTATGCTCTCAGGAGCAGCTTGCCAAGGAATCTGGCGCTTCTCCAAGGCCTTCCCGGCGTCATTGATGAATAACGTGTTGATGTCTTTGGCAAGCAATAACTGACCCTCGGCGAGCTTCGCCGACAGCGGTTTGGGCGTAAAGTTGCCCAATCCCATATATCCCATACTGACTGTAGCGCCAAAGCGACTTTGTCCTCCTGCTGCCCCAATAGCCCCAGGACCAACAATATCCTCCATCTGACCGGTTGTGATATCGACTATTTGGTAGCCACCGTTCATGCCGCAGACCACCTTGTTTGCGTTGGCCCATGTCAGAGACCGGATGGCCTCGGACAGGACTATTTCGGTGACGTCGGGGGAGAGCTCGCTCTCGTGCCATGACCACAGCAGCAAGCGGCGCTTTACAGCAACAGCTAGACGCGATATAATCTCGGGTATCCCAGTGTCGGGATCCTTGACAATATTGCTCGTGACGGCAAAAGTGGAAGCGCTTTTCGTCCGGGCTGTGGGGAACTCGATAGGTTCAAAGGTCTGGAGGTCGTGGAGGGCAACGCCGTTGTAGTTGGACAGCGATATTATGATGTTGGCTTCCTTGATTATGGCGAGTTGTTCGATAGCGCGCGTCGAGAACTTTTCTACCTCGCGGAGGAGGTCGGTGGGCTTGGGGCCTCTCGGCGCGGCTTGGGCATTGTAAAAGCCTGGCGCGGCAGCCTGGTACTCTTGGGTCGTCGTCGAAGGTCCATTGGGGTCTTGGGTCGTCGACTCGGTTGTAGCTTCGCTCGGTTGTTGGGACGACGTTCCGTTGGCAGACTGGCTCGGTGGTGGTGGAGGAGGAGGAGCGGGTGGAAGTTCGTTTACACGGTATATTCTGAGGGATCCCGTATTCAAGCCGACGAGGACACGGTCACCGTAGGCGAGGATGGACTCGATCTTGGACTTGTCTCTCTGCTTGAGCTCGATGATGGGTCGAGCCGTAAATGCGGAGAGCATGGCGACGGGCCCGCTGCTCCCTGGTTGCAGCAGTGGTCACAGGGCGGTTATGAAGGCATTAGATTGTGTCTTTGGAGCAGAAAATTGTCGAGCAGCGCTGGCGCAGGTTGGCGATGTTCCACTTTGTACGGTCTCGTCTCGGATGGATGGTGTTATCGCAGCCGAGTGGGTGTGCCGGGTGGAGGATGACGGCATGGCGATTGGCAGGGCAGTGGTGATACTGAATGATGGTCAGGCGCCGCATTCAAGGGTACGTAGGGTACCTCTACAGGCAGTGCCCGACCCCACGGGACGAGATGGTGGGTGCGATAGCGGGACTGTCTTTCGAGAAGCAGGGTTAGGGGTAGACGTGACCTGAACTTCCTTGCAACCAAGACTTGAAAGAATCCAGATTTCAACAATTACGTACACTACAACAAAGCTCGTCCTTCACTTGGCTTTATCCCCTATTTCATTTCCAATGCAACAGCTTCTGTTAAAGTGAACTGCAAAGTGATGATTGAGTTCAGACAACCTACTCGTGTTTTCATGTTTGGTATTTCCCCAAAGTTCTGGTCACGAACAAGTACGACCGTCAAGGTTCTCGAATCAACATCCAGATGCGGAGAGTTGCGATGGAGTCCTCCATGTTTGTATTGTACTGTACTGTTACGAGTCGTTACGAGCTGGCGGTACCCGACTTACCTCCCGGTTTAGATGGAGTGTCGGGCAACTCCTCTTAGAGCTCAGTGTCATGAGACTCTATACTACCTACCGTATAGACTCGAGGCATCCGTTTTCAGGTTCCGTGGAAAACAGGCATAACCTGTGAGCATACTGCCATACTGCAACATTCATGTCCGCCAGAAATTGTATGGAAGACGGGTGATGTTGAATGTCTCCACCCCCTCCAGCGCCTTTGGAAAGATAGGCCCAGTGGGAAAAGGCAGGGCAGTACACGTGTAGAATAATCGAATCAACGGTGCTCCGGGTAGCAACATGACTCCTTCCGGTCACTCTTTTTTTTTTGCGGGCATACCTTAACCTGGAAGATATACTAACAGAATCGGGCATACTCTGCGTATGTCTGATTATCTCTATGCCTGGTCTCCAGGGAACCTAGAAACAGATGCCCCGGGTCGAGTCTATACGGTACGCAGTCTATCTTTCCAAGGAACCTACCTAATGATATCTACTTAACAGGATGGACAACCTTACACGCCCAACTTCTTGATCTTGGTGCATGATGGCCTGTTTCTAGTGTAGTGTTCGTCCGATTCGTTTCATATTTTGTCGATTCGGCTCCCATCACCCGACGGCACTGGCTGCCGATAAAAAGCACGTTGTGAAGCAAATCCGTACAGATTATACATGGTGCTGCTGCCCGAGAATCGTGCATCCAAGTTGGCTATTCTGTAGAACCTCCCTTGGGTTTCCTGACAGGACTCCACCCGATCCGCTGTAAGATAGTGGAGTGGCTGCAGCATCGACGGGCATAATTGGCTAAAAATGGCCCATCTCGTCAGCGACAGAACACCTCCATCGTCGCTAGCTTGGATATTTCCAAGCAATGATTGCACCACTTAGGTTGTACACTATTGGCGACCGTGACCGTCTTTAGGTTGTCTGTGATTTCAGACCTACTTGCCTTCCTTTCCATCCTGTTCCCAAAAAGATATTTCAATTGTTGCCCACCATAGCTTCTTCAGCCGAGTCTGGAAGCCCCTCCTCCTCTAGACCTGACCAACCCGCGGCAAACCATCACGAGAACGACAACAAGGTGCCACCCGGAACACCACCAAGGCCAGCTGCTGGAGACCATAACACCAAGGACAGGGGAGGGAGGACACGAGAAAGAATTGGAAAAGACCATCATCCCCGCCGCATTCTCTTTTCTGTCTCTGCGCAACCAAGCAGGACACAACGAGACCAAGACGGATTCGAGCTCCAAGCCTATCCGCAATCCAGCAGGCAGCCTCACACTCGCACAGCCGACGACACAGCTGACACCAACCGCAACCCCAATCCGCCCCGTGATCGCGCCGCGGCCAAGGAAGAAAAGAGGGCCAGGAAGCGCCGCTGGCTTGAGGCACAGGACGAGATGAAGTTTTCTCATAGTATCCAGTTCAATGCGGTGCCGGACTGGAGCACACATTACATCGCATACAGCAACCTCAAGAAGCTGTAAGCTTGCCGCCTGTCTTATCTCCGCCGCCGTGCTCAGTCAGCCAGCTAACATAACTGCCTAGCATCTACCAGCTTGAAAAGGTTATCCACCTGTCATCCGGCGGCGATGGCGAGTCGCGCCCGCTGATTCAACATGAAGACCCCGAAATCGTCTTCGTTCGAGCCCTGGATGTCGAGCTGGAAAAGGTCTTGTCTTTCTATACTGTCAAGGAGAGGGAGCTGTTTGAGGAGGTACAAAATCTCTTGCGCGACATCGACGCATTCGATGAGCAGTCCGGTGACACCGACCAAGAGCGCCAACTTCGTCCCCCTACCCGTGGCAGCGAACAACAGAGACCTTTGCGAGCCCGGAGCGAAAGTCTGCCGAGCCGGGCCTCGACTGACGACGGTTCCAACAGCGACCAGAGCGACAATGAGAACACCGGCCTGAACACACGGGGGAAACAGAGGCGGTTGAGCCCGGGGAGGCGAAAATCTAGCACCGTTATCCCTGGACATATGATGTCCTCCATTGGCGACATGACAGCCTCTACAGAAATGACGAGGTCTCGCAGGTTAAGCACTACCTTTGACGACGACTATGCCGAGCAGGCTGTCTTGTTCTCCTCGGGCATCATGCTCAAGAAGAGGATCATCAACCTCTACGTCCAGCTGTGCGAGCTCAAGTCGTACATCCAGCTGAACAGGACGGGCTTTAGCAAGGTCCTGAAAAAGTTCGACAAGATCATTGACAGACAGTTGCGTTCCAAGTACATGGACACCTTCGTTGATACCGCATACGCCTTTCGTCCAGAGACCACCAAGACCTTGGAAGAACAGATTCACCTGATGGTCCACGCATACATGGACATCGTTACTCAGGGTGACGAGGCGGCGGCCACGCGTGATTTGCGATCGCACCTTAGAGAGCACGTCGTCTGGGAACGAAACACGGTCTGGAGAGAGCTTATCGGTATGGAGCGGCGAGCTGAAGCCGCAAGTCTGGGACATACTCTTCTAGGGCGAGATACCGATCCAACCAGCCACCGTCTCCAGGGCGACGATGAGCTGGTGTTGCCGACCAAGGAAATCGCAACACCGCTTGGTCGCTTCAGATTGCCTGCTTGGCTAGTCAGCTCAACTCTGATGACTCTCATCATCATCTTTGCCATCTTCTTCGCCCTGCTCTTCATGCCCATCATGAAGAAGCCCGAGCAGCAAAATTGCCTGGCATTGCTGGTATTTGTCAGTTTGCTCTGGGCTACCGAGGCCATTCCCCTTTTCGTCACCTCGCTCATCATACCTTTCCTCTGCGTTGTTCTTCGAGTCTTCCGCGATGCCGACAAGCCCCATCACAGACTGGGTGCCAAGGCGACTACGGATGCTGTCTTCTCGGCCATGTGGACGCCTGTCATTATGCTCCTGCTTGGTGGCTTCACTCTCGCAGCGGCTCTCTCCAAGTGCGGTATCGACAAGCGCATAGCGACTTTTGTTCTCAGCAAGGCAGGAACACAACCTAGGACGGTCCTCATTGCCAACATGGCTGTGGCCGCATTCGCCAGTATGCTGATCAGCAACGTCGCCGCTCCTGTCCTCTGCTTTGGCATCATCGAGCCCATGCTTCGCAATCTCCCAGCTGGTTCCAACATGTCCAAAGCCGTCATCATGGGCATTGCCCTCGCCTCCAACGTAGGCGGCATGCTCTCACCCATTGCCTCCCCGCAAAACATTGTCGCTATCGGCTTGATGGAGCCCCCTCCCACTTGGGGAGAATGGTTCTTCATCGTCATCCCCGTCGGCGTCATCTCCCTGCTTCTCATCTGGGTCCTCCTGCTCCTCACCTTCCAGCCGGGCAAGGGTACCTCCATTGTGCCCATCCGCCCCGTCAAGGACCGCTTCACGGGCGTGCAGTGGTTCGTCACCCTTGTGACCGTCGCCACCATCGGCCTGTGGTGCGCCTCTCACCAGCTCGAAGCCGAGTTTGGACATATGGGCGTCATTGCCATTATTCCCATTGTCTTATTCTTCGGCGTCGGCATCCTCACCAAGGAAGATTTTAACAACTTCCCCTGGACCATCATTATCCTGGCAGCTGGTGGACTGGCACTCGGCAAGGCGGTTAACTCGTCTGGCCTGCTGCACACTGTCACCAGGCTGATCACCGAGGATGTCCAGGATTTCAGCCTCTACGGTGTCCTGATTGTCTTCTCGAGCTTGATTCTGGTGATTGCCACGTTCATCAGCCACACTGTTGCGGCGCTGATCATTTTGCCGCTGGTGTACGATGTCGGGAAGGGGTTGGACGAGCCGCACCCGAACTTGTTGGTCATGGCGGGTGTATTGATGTGCAGTGCTGCTATGGCGCTACCTACTTCAGGATTCCCTAACATGAGTAAGTTTTGTTACTGTTGCCCGTTTCTCTTTTTGTCCAAAGCTAATCACATTATCTTCCACAGCCGCTATCATGAAGGAAGACCCAGCTGGCCAGCGATACCTGCAAGTCAAGCACTTTATTAGCCGTGGTGTGCCCAGCAGTTTGCTGACCCTGTTGGTGACCGTCACGGTTGGTTATGCTGCCATGAGGGTTGTTGGTATGTAAGGGGCCTACCTATAATCACGTGGATATTCTTGAATTTATGGTAGCTATAGAGTTGGGCTGGTAGCATGAATAAGGAAAGCGGATCTTGGGGGGAGGGGGGGGGGGGGGTAGACGAGGAGGAGGACGAGGATTTCTAGACAGTGATGATCAAGCGTTTCGGCGGTGTATTTTTGGAGTAAATGATCCCGTTTGTGTTGATGTATTCCTTTTTGTTGTTTCGCGTTGATTATGCTTTTAATGAAGACAGCGGCGCAGATCCGGGAGCGGGAAGGGAAATCTATTTGGGCTTCTTCTATTCCTGCTGGATTTTCTATCGTGATGAAGGTTGACTAAAGGGGTAGATCTCATGCATAGCGGCCCCCAGTATGATCATGACCAATTCTCTCATAGTCCGGTACCTTTTCTTCATGCACTCGCACCAATTCGTGTTGAGCCGCATACAGCACATCACATAGGCAAGGGCCTGATAAAGTGTAACCCCAGATATCATGGATGGAGCAACAGATCCAAGGACTACCACTGCAGCCTAAGAAATCCTTCGTCCCGCTCGTGCCCTCTTCTTCCAAGCCCTTTCCAGCCCACTGCTCTCTCTCTCCTTCTCTCTCTCCTTCTCTCTCTCTTTCTTGTTCCAAATCACTCGCTCACTCACTCATCCTCCTCAACAACCTCCTCGCCATAGTTCTCCTCCTCCTTGGCCTCTGCCTCCTTCCCCTTGCTCTGGTCATCACCACCATTCTGACCCGCCCGCTTGTTGTCCTCCTCCATCCGCTGCGTGAGCTCCCGGTTGATGTCGTCTTGGAAGGTGGCGGCGATTTGCCGGAGTTCGTGGAGGTACTTGGCGCGGTCGGAGGTGGTCATTTCTGATGATGAAGAGGTTGAATTGGTCGAAGTTGTGGTGGGGACATCCTTGGTAAGTGTGAAGGAGGGAGAAAGGGTTGTGGAGTTGGTGTAGGTTGCGGTGAAGGTGGTGGTTGAGGAGGCCATTTTGAAATATTCTTTGTTGAAGGGGGTTGGAACAGAAGATGTGAATGGTTTGAGGTTTCAAATGTTTTGATGGTGAGAAGAGGGTTGGGCGTGATTTGGTGGTGGAATTTGTCTGGGTTATGGTTAGTGACAGTTCTGTTAGGGTGTCTTGGGCATTTGAAACATACATGAAGTGTCTTTTTAGCTATGGTATTTCTAGCATCCAATGATGAGAAGGTGTTTTATTTTTTTTTAAAATCGATATCAGAATCAGATCCTCACATGAACGGAAAAGGAAGTCTCAAAATCCTGAAATGCATCTCAACTGACCTCTCAGGTGTCCACTGGAACCAATGCTGCACGTTTCACTGCCCTACAGCATCCCCCCCCGCGTGCGCCTGAATTGGGGAAAACTGACGTTGATTGCGGGGCACTAAAAGCCCTCCCCACCAAGATTGCGATCGTGACGGAACACTTTAGGGCGATCTAGCCTCTGATTCCCTTTCTTCTGCTTGCCAAGCATTCAAGCCCCTGGTTGAATTTGTATTTCAAGTTGGATAGTATCGCCCAAAACAACCAGCAGCCAACACCAACAACAAGTGGTGGCGTCGTATCGGTTGACGTTTCGCAACTGAACCTATCAGGTAAGTAAAGCGCTCAGCTGGAAGTGGGAAGTGGGAGTGCCCGAGGGAGGCTCAGAGGGAGGTGCCACTCATGGCATATGATCGATGTGCTTGGAAGTGGAAGAGAAGGGACGGGATCCCCAAAACATGGCCACGAGGGAAATGGAGATCAGCGCTTGTGATGTCCTCGTACGCAATCGGAGTTTGAATTTACAAGTTCACTCTTTTTTTTTTTTTTTTTTTTAATCTATCTAGCCGCTCTTACCCGTCCTCTTTTTGGCCAATTCAGCGATCACGTATATTTTCCATACTACACTCACATGTTCATTGACTTAACCACCACCGACATAGACTATTCCCATCGACTGATAATCTTCTTCTACAGACATCCGAGCGGGTTAGCAAGATGTGACACTTGCCCTTGCGAAGGATAGCCTGTTCGAAACGACGCCAGTACCGTATGATCCATTACTACCAAACACCACCAGCCAGAGGACCAACAGAACGGGAGCATTGAGAGAGCACCACTGAATGCTGCAGAAGCAAGCAAACAATCAATGCAACCCATGAGTGGAAGAGGAACCCCCGGACCCACGCAGAGGGCTCCAGGGAGTTTCTCACCGCTGCCGGCCAGCACTAACTCCACTGTTAATGCACTCGCCGGCGCCGACATGGGTCTTGTCCGTCCCCATCGACCGTCTCCGGGTCCGGTCCGCATCATCTCAGCCTCGACCTCCACCAGCGACGACCTCACGCCATTGACCATCCCTCGCCCATCCGACCAGCCTACCGCCCCGTCGCCCCAGCCCGGAGGACGTTCAGACGCATCAGGATTCGGGGGAAGAGCAGGAGCATCACCCGAGCGACGAGGAGGAGGAGGAACAACACCTACCCCTGGACGCGAATCTGCAACTCCTATTTACAGCAGCTTCACGTCTCCGAGCAATAGCGCCAGTGCCCCGAGTCTCCAGACCAACTTCTCGCGACCGACCCTATCGACCACCGCCGCCCTGTCCACTGCCCGCTCCGTCGCCGGGACACATTCCCCGATCGATACGGCCCCGCGCAACGGGCCCTCCCCCCTGACCCTTCCGCCGACCAGTGCAACGTCCACTACATCCACTTCGTTTTCCGGCAGGGTAGGCGCACACTCGCGCAAACACTCGGCGAACGCGGGCCTATTCGAGCCTACCCTGCCCTCGACGAGCACCTCCAACCTTGACCAGATCCAAGCCGAATCGCCCAAACTCGGCCCGACGCCGTCGCAGGCGCAACGAGACATGTCTGCCAGCCATATTGCTGCGCAGGCAGCCGTCTCCAAGTCGCAGCTTACCCAGCAACAGCAGCAGCAGCAGCAGCAGCAGCAGCAACCACAACCACAACCACAACAACAACAACAACAACAGGCACCACCGTATGCGCATCAACACCTTGTTCATCTACAACATCGTCAGCGATCACAAACGATACCACCGTCAGGCGAGCATCATGAACAGACTTCGGTCGCGAACAAGCGCAAAAGCGGCGGTCCGATGAGCCCTCCCATCTTGAGCTTGACAGAGGCGAGCGCGCCAAGGGATAATGTGTTTGGAAGTCAAGGAAACCACAACGGCCTCGCCGGAAACCATACCCTTGCTGCCACAGCGGCCGCGAACGTGGTGTTCCCCCGATCGGCGCAGTCGTCCCCGAAACTGCCCGCCCAGCCGACGAACCCCTTGACACCTACTCCACCGCCTGTCGCCGCCGAGAAACCCGCTGTCAAGTCGGAAAAGAGCAAGGTCAAGCTGTTTTCGCGCCCTGGCAAGTCCAGCTCAAAGGCGGAATCATCCAAGGAGAAACCACTGCCTAGTCCCGGAAAGCTAGGGCATGCCTTTTCGAATCTGCAACGGGCCAACTACAGTACTACGAGTCTCGAATCGAATATGCAGCAGCCCTTCTACGCCCATGGGAACTCGTCAACCGCCACGATACGACCAGCCGAGGCTACAGAGAAGGAGGTGAAAGAAAAGGAGAAGAAGCATGGGCATTTCTTGAAACGACAAAAGGAAAAGCTGATAGAGGCGTATCACCTACCGCTCTCGTCAGCTTCGAGCAATTCCAGGCCTACAGATCCCACAGCCCCCAGCAGTCTATATAATTTCAACTTGCCAACAAGTCCTGGTCCTAGCAGCAATGCGTTCAAATCAGGTCTTGATTTGCGACACGGCGGCCGTGCATTGCGCGAGAAGAAGAACAAGGAGGACAAAAGTCTGGACGACGCGGCCTCAAGCTACAACCCTGGAGGCGACTGGCCTGGTCCAAGTAGCGTGAGCTCTGCCACTGGCAACCTGGCTTCAGCACTCTTCCACAACGAGCCCTTTGACAGCCAAAAGTTCGGGCTCAACAACATGACCCTTGATGACGCCTGGCCGTTTCTCAGGGCCAAGCTGCTTGTCATCTTTGAAGCTGAGGACCTTCGTCTCCCTGTAGAGGACCTGAATCGTATAGTGACGATGCATATCCAGTATTGCATTTCGCGGCGCAGCCCAAATATCATCATCGAGGATATCCGGGACTTTCTCACCACGGGCTTCTCGAGTCTCGACCAGAGTCTGAAGAAGACTCCGGAAGACCGCTTGATCCCTGCTCTTGTCGAGCTTTGGATCTTCACATTTACCAGTATCCTACCATATCTGCAAGCAGTCTTTCTACCGTTGGACATGGAATTCGCCGGCAGCGGGCCTTTGATGACGCCAGATCAAGCTCGTGACTTCTGGGGCGGTGTCCCCGCCAGCTACGGCCTCAGCATATCGGCCTCATCGGTCCTTGACATACGGAGACTGGTTCTCCTTGCCTTCCGCGATATCGTTATTCTTCCCCGCTACGACACGCTGAAGATCATGTTCTCGCGTCTCTCTCTCGAGTTCCTACCGCAGAGCCTGGCCAGCATGGCCCTTTCCTCTCCGGTTCCGGTTCCTACCTCCGGGTTCCAAAACACGGCTCACAACCAAGGCGGTGCCTATCAGTCTGCGCTCTCGACCTCGCCCTCACAAGAGTCGCAACTCTCGCTATCCTTCGCAGGTAGCCTCCCAGCAACCATGACCCTAGGAATGGGTGCCGGCTTTGGCACCGCCCCTCCACGGCCAAACACCTCCATGTCCAACCCCGTTCCCAGTGTGGACCCTTCCTACGCGAGCTACAACAGCAACGGGATGGGCACCGCCGGCGGTGGCGGCGATACCCCTCCAGGAAGCGGTAATCGCTCGCGTACCATCAGTAACGTCAGCTTCGGCAGCGACCATGGCAACGCCAACCGCCCTTTTACCCCCAGCAGCATTCAAGCCCTTGGCGCCGCCTCCGCCCAAGCCGCCATGTCCACCCCTAGCGGTGTTGGTATCGCCAACCTCAACCTCAACATGTCCACACCCGTACAGCAATTCCCCTTACACGTAGCGCCCAGTATAGCAAGTATAGGCAGCAACTCCATCCACGGCAGCCTCCGCGACCCTACAGGCGGCGGCGGTGGGAGAACCGCCGACCAAAACGTCGAAGACTCCAAGCAAGTCACAGAAATGGTTGGACGCATGCTCCAATGCATGTCCGTCCTGGCTTCTGTTTCCGCGCCCACCACTCCTTCTTTCACCTCCTCCATACCGAACCAAAACCCCCACTCCTCCACGGGCAACCTCACCTCCTACAACACCTACTCCTCCTCGCAAGACTCCGTGGCAACAACAACCATGACCAACGCCACCGTCCCCGCCTCTCCCTCGGGCTCTTCGGTGGCTGGCGGCTTACCCCCTCTCGTCCAAACCATGTCTTCTCCTTCACAATTCTCCTCCCCTTCGTCGCCGGCTACTCCGACCGCTAACAGCCCTGGTCCGCTACCTCCCCGCCCGTCGATTTCCAGTCTGAGCGCTAGCTTGGCTACTAGCGGGATCAGCGGTGCTGGTAACAATAGTTTGCCAAACACACCCACGGCTGCTAATGCCACAACACCAACTACACCCACAGCCCCCGCCAATACTGCTGCTACTGCTGCTGCTGCTGGTGCCGGCGGTCCTGGTGGGGGAACGGGTGGATACGGAAACGTACCTCCCGATGAATCCTCCCGCATGATCGAAGAACTGAACAAACTCCTCAAACTCAACTGGCTCGGCCGCGGCCGCACCGGTCGTAACAGAAGGGGCATCGTAGGCGGGCGAGTCAAGCGCGCAGGAGCAGGGAGCGGGTCTGGGTCCGCTTTGACCTTTTCCATGGGCGCTGGCTCTGGGATGGGTTATGCGTCATCGTCGTCCTACGGCGGTTATGCTGGTCAAGGTGGTGGTGGTGGTGGGTATGCGGGATCGTTGGGGACGGGCCCGGCGGGGGTGAGCATGAATAGCCTTGGGACCACGGGGACGATGGGGAGTATGAGTATAGGGACTGTGGGAAGTGGGTTTGGGGGTGGGTTGCTGCAGGGTCAGCAGGCTGAGAGAGATAGGGGAGGAGGATGGACGGGGACGGGGTCGGGGTCGGGATTGGGTACCTCTGCCAGCATTATTGCTGGGACAACAGGGACGGGAGGGATGATGAGTAGTCTGCCTATTGGTGCTTCTGTTCCTGCTACTGCCGGTACTGTTGGTGCGGGTGCCGCTTTGGCTGGTGCTGCTGGTGTTTCTATGCCTGCTGCTGCCGGATCATTATCAAACGAGATTGTGGTTGACAATTAGTGGATGGTAACCAAACCTCTGGAGAGATGGGCACTTGGACTTGGGATGGGAACGAGGTAGTAGAAGTGGGTGAAACAAGAAGAAAAGAAAAGAGATATGCAGGTTAAATGGAGGCATGGAGTTGGAATAGGGGTTAATTCTGGTAGATCATCGGTTTTTTCTTGGGGGAGCATTTACATTCCTCGGTTCTCAGGACCACACATATATATATATATGTATATCTATACAAGTAATATTTTCTTCTGCTTTGCTTTTGGGCACGGGCGGTGATGCCTTCGGAAACGTAGCATACTTGATGTCCGAGGAGACACAGCCATAATTTGATGAAGACCTGCATGTTCATCGTTGATGGTTGGTAAAAGATCAGGATATGTTTTTGCAAGTCATTCAGTTGTCCGACGGATGGTGAGAATACACAGGTCATCCATTCGGTCAGCATTAGACACTTTCACTGTGGCAGCATGATACCACGCTCTGCCATCGATCTGTCATAACACATCGCCCAGGGCAACTCTTCAGACTTGATTCACATACGAACGCGGAGGCAGCAGAACTTTTAATCACTGTTCGATTTGACTATTGGATGATATTCTTGATGGGATGTAACCTCTACTGATTCCCAGATATCGGTGAGATACAAAACGATCTCTCAACATGGGCGCCCAGCAATGGGTCAAAAGTGATCTCTCTATGCCAGAGCGAAAACATTCATATCAATGGAAAGATGATGTGAATGTCGATTCGACACGCCGAAGCGCATCTGCTGGCAACTGTTATGTTTATCGATCATCGATCACAAAGGAAGGCGAAGGCAGAAGATTTTTGAACTGTATTTTATTGTGGCTATCTAAAATTGATTCATAGTAGATGGATATCCTGCACTTGGGATCTGTTAGCTGATGCTCGCAAGACAAAAGACTGCTCAAAACAACAAGTGTTTGATGATCCAATCAGACATCCAAGGAAGACTTCGCCCTCATCTGACCCCGAGAAAGGCTCGTAGGTGGGGTCTCGAGTGGAAACTGCGAATGTAGGAAAACTTCATCATAAGGATCGGGGGCGGGGTGTGATGTGTGCGAGTTGCACAAAGTATGAACTAACCTTTGATGAAAGTGATATTGTGTAAGGCTGTCATGATTAGTTGGCAGAATCACATTGTTGTCTGTCTCGAGGAGAGAATCAGAAGCAACAGAAAAAGGGCACAAAGGCACCTTATATATCAGAGAGCCAGGCTCGAGAAGATTCTGTGTGTCTGCGGTATGGAGTCAGCAACCATGTTTGCGAAAGTTGCTGTGGATACTCGCGTGTGGGTTGCGGAAAAAATGAAGAAGTGCAATCCGCTTCAGTCAGAAAAAATTACTGGCAAGCAACAGGCCGACTCCCGTAGGAGGAAGCCCGAAACAGACTAGTCTTCGTTCATGGTCGATTCAGTTGGGAAAAGAAGACATTTCAGAAGTTGTCATCATCCGAAGGCGGATCCAGGGGAAGGGTTGTGAAAGGTGCTGTTGCGAAAAGGAAAAGGGAAATTGGAGCTTACCTCGTTGATTGCCATGGCAGTTGTCGTTGACCTACCTGAATGCGACGCTTGTGACCGCGCGTTGTGAAGTATTGACAAGATGTCGCACAGCCTTGCCTCTCAAAAGAAGCAATATGCTGCGGGCAGATACATGAACACGCAATGAAGCGGTTCCTGCCAGCTCGGCATACTCGAACCATTGCTCACCAGGAGCATCGGTTGGATGAATGCGTGAGCTCGAAAATCGCGGCGTTTGCGATTGTTGGTTTCTGAGGAAGGGGAGAAAATTAAGGTTGCGTTTGCGACAATTGGACAGTTCAAATACTTCTGCGCGGGAGGAGATAACGATAACGAAAATTCAGGTGGGGTCGGCAAGTTCTGGGCGGGAGAGCTGACAGAATGTGTAGAAGCGCGCAGAACACAGACACGTGTAGACACACGTGATGCTGGGTTTCACCTCTTATCAAATGGATCGCCTGCCGTGCTGCAAGGTCCCGCCATCGCCCGCCATCGCGACAAGAGTCTGTCGGCCGTCCAGACTCCAGACAGACCACCTCACTGCGGGCTGATGAGCCGAGACCAACTGAAGGGGAGGTTCAGCTTGTTGGACATTAATCTTTGCGGTGTATACGAGAAAGCCCTTTCGATTAGACAGGAGTAATCATTTCCCAGGCTTTCATTTCATATCTTCAGTTTGGTGGATGTTCATTGCTGTGCTTCTGTCGACCTCTCAGAGGGACTATTCGTTGATCCTGACGCTTCGCGGTGTGGTGTGTACATCGCGCCCGGGTGGGCCAACAGCCGACACCCCCTTTTCTGTTTCCTGGCTGTCCAAGCATTGTGGGGTTAGGGTTGGTGATACGATTCTGAAAGCTGTTGGAAGCCCGCTCTTTCAACGTCACCACTGAAGGAAGCTCGTAGGGTCTGTCGTAGGTCGACTGGTCTGGCTCTATGGCCATTCGTATGACCCGGAGCGACTTGTTCTCCTCCGTCAGTCGTTCCGCATTACTGAGTATGGTAAAAAATCTCTGTAGAGATAAGTCTGAGGCCGAAATCGGGAGTTTAGGTGGTGATTCGGCGTGTGCATGAGAATGGCTCGATGCATGGAGCACGGGCATCTCTCTGCTGTAGGCTGAGTGAACCCAAGTTTGACACCTTCGTATGTGATAGGATTTGGTATTGAAGAATGATGGAGAGGAGTGCCCTTTAGGGGAGTCAAAGTGTTTCTCAGGTTGTATAGCGATTATGATGTGAGGGCATTCAGCCTTTGTCGAACTCCTTTAACCCTGCAACAACGGGTCTCAGTTTCAAGAGTACATATGCGGCAGTCAAAGCCAGACAGAATATTATGGCTTGTGCTGGGAGATTTGTCTAATACAAGCTAATATCCTGTAAACTACTGAGCTCCCGTGACTCTCTGCAGCAATGCTGACCTAACACAAAAAGACTTCAACGAGCTCAGTTCGAATCATATATATTTCCAGCGCTCCCCCCCAAATGTCACCAACATCCCAAATTTGACCCATCCACAGGGAAAATAACAAAGAGAGGAATTCCGACGAGAAACATTTCTTCTGAGCTCGTCATCACTGGTCGGTCATCAGAACCCCAATACATAGACACATAGACTACCTCTACCTAGTAAGTGGCATTCCATTCTTTGTACCCCTGGGGTCCAAAACCACCTCATCCAGCTCGCCCGCCAAGCACTCCCGCTTCTGTCCAAACCTACCAAGGGCCCCAGCAACAACTCCAAGGAACTCTTTTTTGACGGGACTCCCGTCTGCCCAGGTCAGGACCCAGACTTCCAGACGTCGCCAGTCCCATAAAAACTCCCAGTCAAGCAGCAGCGCAGCCCAGAGAGTCGACGGACGGGAGATCCACACAACCACCTTACCCTTCCCAATCATCCCCAAGCCTCAATCCACCTCCGACTCCGACAGTCCACGACACGTCGGTGCTCGTTCCGTTGTATCCCTCATCTCTTGCTGCAGGAGATCTAGTGCTTCGTCGCTCACCATTCCTCTCTCTCTCTCACCAGTCTCTTTCTACTTTCGACGCTCTTGTCTTCCCATCACCAGCGGGAAATCCTCCTTAATCATTTCACCACCTACCTATTATCGCTGCCGTGGTGCATTCTGCCGCATCGGCACACATACCTAATAGCCTCTGCCTACCTACCGCTCTGGTCACCTCACCCGCCTTGGTACCTATATTGATTGACCTACCCACCTACCTACTTACCTACGCCTATCGGCCTGCCGGACCCGTCCCGCTTCGTCTCTTCTTCCTTGCGGCACTCTCTGTGTGCTTACTTGACACTGTTCCCAAGTCGACTTTCGACCGACTTGGATCTACCCTTTTTGCTCACTGTCTCCCCCAACTTTCCGCTCACGTTGCTCGTCGCGCGACCGCCGCCGCCAGACAAGGCCCCCGTCGCTGGCTCTGAGTGCAACGCACACCACCAGACACCTGCCACTTCCGTCTTCCCAGCTTGAGGCCTGTCCGAGGTGATTTGGATCCTTGGATCGCCAGGTCCGTACCAAAGGAACCGACACACCCAGTGCCTGAGTCGTCGCCGCTGTCGTCGTCGCATCCGCCCCCAACGCGCTCGGCTTCCTCTTCGTGGGTGCAGCAGCACAATAGCAGTCGTCCAGCAAACGCTATTTTCAACTGCCTCTCGACCGCCTGTCGATCGCCACCCGATTGAAGCGGCATTGTGATACGCGTGCGCGCCAGACAAGGAAGAAGACCGACCAACGCCTCAGCCGGCCCTCGCGGCAACTCCCCATACCGACGAACTGGTTACACTTCGTATGCGATAGCGCGGAGGAAGTCACGTCGATATCCACGCTGTGGATAGTCGACAGCAAAGTGGAAAGAGATGATGGCTAGCATGCCGATTGGTCCCTCCTTTTCGCCGCACCCTGGCGGAATGCAGCAACATCCGGGAGCTCCTCCCGGTCACCACATGGCTCCGGGCATGGCCCACAATCCCAGCCAGCCCGGCGCAACCCCCGCCATGGCTCATCAGATGGTGGCACACTTAGGTGTCTCCGGCCCCGGCCCCCAGATGAGCGCCGGCGCTCTCATGGGAGGAATGCCGCCCGGCACTCCCAACGCCCATGTTGCCATGCAGCATTTGAACCCCCAGCAGATGGCAGCATACCAACAACAGATCAATGGGATGGGCTGTAGGTTTTGCCTTCTTTTTTCTACCATGCCCCGCTCGCTTGCTTAGACACCATATACTAACCAAAATGAATCTTCAGTTCCCAACAACCCAGCCATGCAACAGCAGTTGCAGCAAGTTAGGCTGCAGCAGCTGCAGCAAGCGCAACACCAGAGAATCATGCAGGCTCAGCAAGCTCAGGCTCAGTACGGTAACCTGGGAGGCATGCCAATAGGTGTCCCCGGCATGGGCCAGATGAACCCTCATATGGCCCAGTTAATGCAGAGGCGCGCAATGGGTGGCCCTATGCCAATGACCCATCAGATGCAACAGCATCTAGCGCAACAGCACCAGGGGCAGGGGATGAATGTAAGAGCTCGAGAATCCCGTTGCGAAAGGAGATCTACTGCAAGGATACTAACGCAGTACACAGCCGAATCTCATAGCCCAACAGATGGCGATGCAGCAGCAGCAGCAGCAGCAGCAATTACAACAGCAACAACAACAGCAACAGCAGCAGCAGCAGCAGCAGCAGCAACAACAACAACAGATGGCCCAGCAGGGAAACAACCCCGGCCAGCACCAGATCAACCCCCAAGGTCCAGGCCTCAACATGCAAGCTCAGCTGGCCGCTCTTCATACGCAACAGGCTCATGCCCAGCAGTCGGCGGCAGTTCAGGCAGCCCAGGCCCAGGCCCAGGCACAACAAGGAGGGCCGGGACAACCACAGCAGCAACCGCAACAACCACAGCCCCAACCGCCTCAACAGCCACCCCAACAGCAGCCGGGTCAGCCTCAGCAGCCTACTCAACAACAGCAACCACAGGTTCAGCCAGGTCCGGGAGTAAATGGGCCAGCACAGAACCAGGGGCCTGCTCAGGGCCCTACACAGCAGCCAAATGCCCAACAGCAGGTCTCCCCTCAAACGCCACAGACCACACAAGCCCAGCAAGCACAACTTGCCCACGCCCAAGTTCAAGCAGCCGCCAATGTTGCCAACCTCCTGCAGCAAAAGCGTGTGGATAGCGCAAACTTGAAGGGCCAGTGCTTGCTTAAGCTCAACTCGTTCAATGAGCATTTGAATGGATTCACGGTAAGCTTACGCGTTGAGCATCCCCCGTCCAACTTCCTGTTCGTCCTTGATTGCTGACTTTGCTGCTATAAAGGGTTCCCAGGGTGCAGACGGATTGAAGTACTGGCAACTCTTTGTCCAGCGGTTCTTCTCCCAGAAAGGCGTCTTCCGCCAGACTTTTAAGAAACGTGAAGATGAAGCTGCCGATCCCAAGCCCTACGAGATCGACGTTGCAGCCTTGCCGCGATTCTTCAATGTGCATTTCGAAAGTGGCGTTTCGAAAATGCAGCTGGTCATGCAAGGCACCACAGACAGATCGTTGCCCCACGACGGCCATTTCATTGAGATCGCCAGGGCAAGTGTCTTCTACTGGTACGATAATGGATCGCATGTAAGTTGGATAGCCCCTAAACCCAAGCCTACGTGGTAGCAGAACGCTTATAATTCCGAAATAGGTCGTCCATAATGGAACCCTCCGGATCCAATTCGACAGCGACCAATTTATTGAGCTTTTCGACTTTGTCGTTGAGAACCACGAGGAGTACCATTCGCGACGCGCAATCATCGAGGCTGCTCGGCCTTCGCACACCTGGATCAAGGAGTGGAGATCCCTGAACCCGCCTGACAGCAAGCAGTCACCAGAGATGAGCAAAAAGGGCAAGCAGAGGCCGTACAAGAGCCCAGCCACTCCGCCACCGGATATCGAGCTTCCGGACTCTTGCGTCAAGATTGGGATGGGGATTCCAGAAGGCGTGTTTCAGTTCCTGGAGGTACGTGGTCGTAATACGCACTGTTCTGCAGGTACAATGTAACGCTAACTTGATGTCTTGTGCAGATGGCCGATATCATGGGTCAAATGAGCCCCTTATTCACGTTCTCCCACAATCATCCCGGCATCTCCCCATATGCTGCTCTCGAGCAGTTCATGACCCAGATCACAGGTCAAGGTCCAGCTGTCAACGGCCAGGCGATGCCGCAAGGAGTCCCTAGGACTCCAGGATACAACCAATTTCCAATGGGTGCCAGTCCAGCAATGGCAAACCAGATGCTTCCTGGGTCTCCTCATATAGGTAGCCCGGCTCCTGGCCAAATGCAGGCGCCTGCCATGCAGCTTCAAGTCAGCCAGCAAGGCACCAACTCTAGTGGGCCAAGCGCAAATACTTCGCCTCAGCAGAACAACAAGAAGAGGAGAGCTTCCCAGGCGAAGCTCGAAGATGATGGTCCCACCTCAGCCCCGACGCCGGCGACTATCGGTACACCCCAAATGCCTCAGATGAACGGCGTCCAAGTGAAGGCTAAGCACCCTCCAACGCCGAGGATGCAGAAACGCATGAAGAACAACCAAGGATAGAAGCCGAGACGTCCTTTGATCGAGCTGTGGACGCCGTCTTGCTCTCCTTTCATACACAATTAACATAAATTCTTCACGGTTGGTGTCTTGGCGTCTTGCTTGGTCTTCTTGACATGAGCTCGTTCAGACCTCTCGACTTCTTAGACATCCAGAGCTGGGCAGTCTTTGGGCTCGATTTTTTCTACTTTTTCTTTCTGTTCACACACGCATGGGATTTTACATGACTGCATCCGGCTTAACTTTGTATCTGGGCCGGGGAAAGCATTCATTCTGGAATCGGACCATTTGCATATACCCCATTTTCTGGTTCACACGGGAAAGGCGCTGGTGGAAAGCGCATATGGGAGGAGGCTAACGGGGAGCCAGAGAAGGCTATCGAGTGGGAGAGCGGAACTGTTTGGTGGAAGATGAAGTGGTTATTAGGATAACATTGACACCAACAGGTGGGAAGAAGAATCGATCAGGAAGAGGCGGCAAGGTATGGGAATTGAGATGATGAAACGGGGGGAGCAGAGCGAATAGGATTCGAGGAGGGTCAGTCAGCTGAAGCGGGTGCCAAAAATTTACTTGGCTCGAGTTCATGATATAATATTGCACTCGAGGCAGGCCTGCGTTTTGACGCGTTCTGGCAGGCGTTCTGCGAGGCGAAGGAAGGAAGGCATGATTTTTGTGTACATCGCGTTTCCATTTTTCCTCTTTATTTGGTCTTTGGTTCCAGAGTTTGAGAAACCAGCGCATTCCTACTACCTACCCATTTTCCGTTTTCCTTTTTGCCGGGTTGATATATAGTGCTGGAAAGAAGAGTCTCTATGTTGTTTTTGTTGAGGCAAAGGAGAAGAGGGGAAAAGGAGAACGACACGCGAGCAGGGAAAGAGAGTGAGTGCTCGGATCATCCGTCATTCTACCTCACGGGCTTGGAGACGGCATGGATGAATCAGTCTCCGGTGTCAGTCGGGTAGATTTGTCCCACCCCCGCTCCCCGCTCCGGTCTTCTGGCCTATGGTTGTCGCCGTTTTCTGTTTAATGTTAATGATTTGGCGTCTTACGAGAGAGGTCCGACTGTTGGGAGTGAAGACATTGCAAAAATGGTGTTGTGAAAGAGCAAGAGCGACAGATGCAAAACATAGCGTATCACCACATACTTTTTTTCTGTCTTCAAGTGGTCGTCGTCGTTTTTATCAAGCTTGGATCGATGCTTCTGATACTTACCTTACTTGTGTTGCGCGCGTGGTTTGAGCGAGATGGGAAGAGGGTCAGATAACTTGAAGGAAAGAAAACAAAGGGGAAGGAGGATGGGGGGGAACAGAGTCGAGTTGGATAGAGAGAGAGGTGTGGTATTTTGTATCAAAACTTTTGTGTTTGTTCAAGTTAGTCAAAGAACTTCAGCGATCAATTTTTATTTTTTTCTAATCTTGCGCTATCATGCCCGTCTGTCCATGTCTCTGTTGCTTCTATTTCTTCCATCCATTCAACATCTACGTCAACAGTTCATTCTGGCCCGTACAATACTATTATTAAGCACAAAAAATCCACTTAGGTTTCTTCCCGCCAGCACTAGATCATCATGAGTCTAGGCAAGGTTATGATATGCTCCATGGCATACTGGTTATTGATTCAGATGATTTGACTCGCATCCCGTCCTATTTGTCGAGAGAAGCCTCATCTACAACTAACCACATCACTTTGTTACATCATTCACCTCGTCTCCTTCTCACGTAGGTGCTAGTCGAGAACAACCGTTGATTGCTCATAAACAACGCTCACTCACCCCTTGAAAGAAACCATACAGGAATACCCCATACACATGTTGGGACTCTCCTAGTTCAAAGAATAAAAGAACTTCGACGCTTCCTTATGCAAGATACAGATAAATTCAGAAGAGTGTGTGTCGTGGCTTTTAGGTACTTTGCTTCAGAAGCAGCTTGAGTGGACCTTGGACTTGAGGCTCAAAGGTTAGAGCTGGACTTTCTCCTTGCTGTGTGTACTTCCATGCTGTAAGTCCTTTGATATTGTGAGATCAATGCAAAGGTGTGAGCTTGTTATGATCCCTCTCTCATCTCTATTTCTTTATACTTTTACCCAAGTATGGTGTGCGCCCCCGTTTCTCATGTCATATATGGTGTAATGTGTGTTTTGTGTTCCATCTAGTTATTCATTCTCTATGGTGCTGTGATAACAGTCCGCGGATTGAAAGGCGGGTTTGACAATGTGATCGACCATGCTTAGAGGTAGTGATGACTTCCGTGAAAAGAAGCAGACTAGTGTACCTAGAAAACAAAAAGTGATGCAGTCAAACAACAACAATTTATTGATTCACTTCTTGTCATCAAAGCTTTTACTGAATAAAGGTGTAGAACTCCGTGTCTCTTTTATACATGATGTCCCTGATTTCTTTCCCCTTCTTTTCTCTACTTCTATCACTTGGACACCCACAATTCCCTTTCTATTTTGTGCGTTCGATTCTGTCATTCACCCTCAAACCTCTAGACCGCGCCATTCACTATTGACGACCTTGTATCTAGCATCCATCATCGTTAACTATTCATTGTTTGTCCTTCAACTTTCTCACTCATCCCGCACGCATAGCCCTTTGTTGTTTCAGTTATTGCTGCAGCCACAGTCCATTGTTTGAACCACACATAATCATGATCGTACTAAGTTTTGTGATGACTGATCATAGTAGAAGACAACATAACTATCAAATACGGTGTGATGTTTGAACAGCGATATGAAGTTTGTTTGTAGATGACAGAGGAAGTTGATGAAAACGTGTCAGTCATGCGCCGAGGCAAGTTACTTTTGAGTGTCTTGGGAGTTGCCCCTGGAGGTTAGGCTGCAGACCTATGCAATGCCAAGTAGTCGGCACATCTTTCTTGTATTGGCGAAGCAGGAAGTTGGTCTATGACTTCCAGGATCGGATATACGACTTTTGCGTGTTTGTCCCGACGGTATCACTGTTGTAAGAGTCTTCCGTGATTTCATCAAATCGGTTCAGAAGACTGGAAGACCAATAGTTAGCACACCACACAATGGATTTAACCAAGCGTCATTATACACAGAGACCATCGGCCATGAGAACCAGTGTAACGATATCCAGCTAGGATACGTGTACAACATATTGTATATCCTATAAGCTGCGTGCTTCCTCGTGATATCCACGTATGGAATTACCGTCCTCGTGATGTGCTTCCATTGCGGCCATCCATCCAGGGGTTCATGTTCGGAGGGGTTCAACAAGGGATGTAAGTCACCGGCGTGGTGAGAAAGGGCATAGAGAATGAGGTAAACATTGATTTGTGAAACGGGCAACCCAACGGCAAATGATGCTGTCTCTAGACCAAAGCACACCGGGAAGCAAAGTAAAGGGGATTCCGCCTTCATACGACTGCAGGTGGCACTTAAGTCCAGACCCCAACAGCACAGTCCCATCGTCCCTTCTGTCGTAGCAAGCCCTCCCCCTCTTCAGCCAACGTAACCCTAAGGATATAAACCCAGCAGAAACAACATGATGCACAGCCCACCAACCCGCTCATTGATCCAGTAATCGTGTATGAATCCCAAAACGCCCACAACGTCTAAAGCAAAACGATAGAGAGGATATGATTACGCAGTCTCGAAGTCGCCGAAGGTGTTCTCGCCCGAGTATGTGATGTAGAGGAAACTGTGGTAGTAGTCACGTTAGTCTGGGTTACAGTTGGAAAAAATGATAGGGGATAGAGGTTGCCACGTACCCATCCTCATCCTTGTGCTCCTCGTAGATGCTGCTCATGAGAGCAGCGGTTGGAGGAAGGACCTCATCTACGAAGATGAAGATGGCCTTCTCGGGCGACAGCTTGATGCGCTTGCGGATGACGTAAACGAACTGGCCCACGGTGAGGTCCGCCGGTACGAGGTACTTCTTCTTATCGATGGTAGCGATATCACTCTTCTCGACCTTTTCGCAAATAACCTGTGGCGACATGTGTTAGTTAGGGATAAGGGCGGTGACTGCGGGATTGTCCGGATGGGGGATGCTTACGGGAATACGGTCGGAGTACTTTTGGCGAATACGCTCGGCCTCGGCCTTGCGCTTCTCGAAGGGGTGCTCGTCCTTGAACTTGGATCTCATTTTGGCGGTTTGGGTTGATAATGTGGAAGATGCGGTGATAGGTGTTTGGCTTTGAAATAGACTACAAGCGTGGATACGATGGATGGATAAGACGGTGTCTGCGATAGAGGGAATCCGGTGTTAGTCGGAAGAAGCGGCTATTGAAAGGGAGATAGACCATGGATGGCTTCCACAAGGAGCAGCATCAGTGTTGGTCGGAAATGCAAAACATACCTTGATGACTGGCGTGTGATGGAAATGAGGAAGCTGGGGAGAGATGTCAGAGGTAAGAAACGGCAAGAGGATGAAGAGGGGGAAGAAGGGTTGATGTACCTCTTTGACCATCGATGTAAGGTGTGTTAGTAGGTTGCCAGGCAGTGTTGCCTATCGGCCGCGTCCAGTTGGCGGCTGCCCGCCTGTCTGCGCAGCACGGGTCAAAGGCCCTGGACACGCCAGGACAACCTGAACACTAAGCGGGTGACCAGCAGGCGGAGGCGGGGCTGACCAGATGACTAAAGCGAGAGTCGATCCTCGATTGGGCTTAGCCCGCTCCCAGTCGGTGAATCAGATGGGTCACTGGCCGTCGCTCACATGGTCAGGCTTAACAGGTCACTGCCTTTTCAGTGGCATTCCAGGGGCATTTCAAGGCGAAGGCGTGCCCGGCACTCAGCTAGGAGCGGTACCTGAACGGTACCTCTTGGCCATCAGTGGGGCGGCGTGGAGGTAGCAATGACGCAGCACTCCGTATCCGTCTCCTATCTCTCGTTGTACACTACCTACCTACCTACCTACCTCTAGTATACATAGTACATTACCAAGTCCTAGGTTGATACCTTGTATCAGCGGCACATGGACAAGACAGAAGGATGGCCCGAAGAAGGGCGCATTGGAAATCTCCTTTCCGTTCCAAGGGCAGCCAGCCTCGTGGCCCTGGTCCTTTGGCTTCCCGGTTCGTTGAACGTGTAGACCGCATTTTACTAAGAAGGGCGTGGACGGTTCCATCGGCTTGGCCAGCGTCTCGACCTCGCACCCGACGGGCAGCTTGTTGACCGCTTTGTTCGCCTGCCGTCTACCTCTACACTATTAAAGACCTAGGGAGGACCAGGTCATGGATGTCACCACTGCGAAGTCGTCATTCTCTCCGCTTGTTTGCATTTGGTATATCTTATCCATAATAGTCTCCTATCTATCAATGAAGCTTTATCCTGGAGCTCCTCCCGGGCCTCCCTACAACTGAAGTCCGATCGGAGCTGACCATTTGCCCCGCCATGGGACCCGGGCCCGCGTGTTTACACTACTATCAGGTACCGTTTTCGGTGTCCGCCTAGGTGGCTTTTCCGGTCGCTCCCGGAGTGCGTGCAGCACCAAAAGTGGACATCTTGCTCCTCAGGGTCCGGTTCCCCGTCCATCCACTGGAGCCGTTGAAATGCAAGGAACACCCCGCGAATGTTCCGTTCTGCCTACGGCACTGCGCTATCATGGATGGCAGCGTGGTTACAGAAGGAGCTGTCTATCAGCCTGTTCCGGGTATAGCGTCATTTTCCATTATTTGTATGTAGGTAGTTGATAGTTGATCCAACCAGTGAAAGAGAATTCGGCTCCGAGGCACTACAAGCGGATCCCTCCTCGAGATCCCCAGCAGGCAGGGCGATTACCCAGCGAAGACTAGACTACCCGCCGAGGCCAAGCTCTCGATTTCAACAATAACATCCGATTTTGGACACCACATCAGCCGTGGATCGAGTCCGTCAAATTTCTCGGTTCAGCCTTGTCCCAATTGACGAATCGATAGTTCACCAATTCGCCATTGTGAAAGAGCTTGCGCGGTCTTTCCCGGCCCTCCGTACTTAGATCTGGTGTGGTGGTCTCATGTTCGCAGAGTAAAATCATTCGATCTCGGGACCTCGACCTGCTCACCACCCACCACTACGCTACCACTCCCCAATTCGTATAAATAAGAACCGTCAAGATGGCCTCGCGACGGCCTACTCTTCGCCTCTTTGCTCAGTGCAAGACGAAACCCCAATTCAACCATACCTGGACCCCTCGCCGAGCTGCATCAAGCTTCCAGAGCTCCGGATCGGCACGTCAAGCTTTCTCGAACTCGCGAAACTACCTCACTTTGGCTGCTGCTGGTCTGGCTGTAGCCACTACTCTTGGTTACAAGATGGTATGCGCCTGCTGCGACCTCCCATTGACCAATTGCCTACTACGGACCCTAGCTCACCATGTGCTCTGAATTCAGGCCGTCGAAGACCCCATCCGATGCGATTCCCCCACCCTTGCCGAGCGCGACCAGCAGATTAAGCGCGAGAAAGGCGTAAATGATGCCTCGCCAATGCGCCTGCGTATGGAGAAGTTCGTCAAGGAGCAACAGAAGGAAATTGTCAGAGCGCTAGAGGAGGCCGACGGCACACCATTCCGGGTGGACGAGTGGCAGCGCAAGGAGGGTGGCGGCGGCATCACCTGCGTCCTCCAGGAAGGCAAGGTGTTTGAGAAGGCCGGTGTTGGTGTGAGCGTCGTTTACGGCACTCTTCCCAAGCCCGCCATCATCAAGATGCGTGCCAACCACAAAAACCTGGCTCAGGAGGATGACATTCCTGACAGCCTCGAGTTCTTCGCCGCCGGCCTCAGTCTGATCGTCCACCCCAAGAACCCCATGGCCCCGACGGTCCACCTCAACTACCGATACTTCGAGACGGCCAACCCCGACGGCTCCTCGGGAGCGTGGTGGTTCGGTGGCGGAAGTGACCTGACGCCCAGCTACCTCTTTGATGAGGACGCCATCCAGTTCCACAAGTCGCTGAAGGAAGTGTGCGATGCCCACGACAAGGAATACTACCCCCGCTTCAAGAAGTGGTGCGACGAGTACTTCTACAACAAGCACCGCGGCGAGTGCCGCGGTATCGGTGGCATCTTCTTCGACGACTTGGATGAGACCGTCTCCGACAAGGAGAACACCTTCGCTTTCGTCCAGGACGCGCTCAAGTCGTTTGCGCCCACCTACATTTCCATCATCAACAAGCGCAAGGATATGCCGTACACGGAGGAGGAGAAGCGGTGGCAGCAGATTCGCAGGGGCAAGTATGTCGAGTTCAACCTGGTGCACGACCGCGGCACCGCGTTTGGCTTGAATACCCCTGGTGCACGCGTGGAGAGTATTCTCATGAGCTTGCCGTTGACGGCTAGGTGGGAGTACATGTATGAGCCGGCGCCGAAGAGCAGGGAGGCGAGGCTGGTTGAGGTGCTGAAGAACCCCAAGGACTGGGTATGATGATAAGGATTTGTACCTCTATTCTGTGCCGTTGAAGGTTCTTTGTATGTATTTTTATGACTTGCATGGTAAAAATGGGTTACGTGAGATGAAGAAGAAAAAAAACAATGAGTAGACAAAATGCTATCGATGATCCGTCAAATCTGATTGTGTTAAATCCGAACTATGGTCGCGCGCTATTGAGTAGAGAATGCAGTTTTGAACTTGGACGTTTTCTTAGGACCGCGTCACTGCATGCACCTAACAACTTACAACATTCAACCACCACCACCGAATAAAATGATGACTCGGATGAAGTGCAAGTTTAAGCCATCATAACTACCAGAACCTATTTCTCAGGATTTACGAAACATAATCCAGTTAATTACTTCCCGGAGGAAAATCAACAGCGTGATGGCCTCACCCAACGAACACCACCACGGGCATTCTGACCCGAATCCCGACTTACACCCACCAGGCCCTGCTTCGCCTCACCCTCAACCGTCTTACCAGCCTCAACCACAGGAAGAAGCAAAAAGCTCATCACCACCATTACACTCACCACAAATCTCCACAACGCCGGCCCTCGACCTCCCCACCTCCCGACAATTCCTCACCTCCCTCATAACCGCCATCTCCAACATTCCTCTGCTCGACGAGCCACCTACCCAAATACACAAACCCGCACCCGGGCCAGGGTCCAAACCCCAATCCAAAGCTGCCGATGTACCAGCAACAGAGACAGAAACGACAATTCGGAGGAAACAACTACTCCAGATCCTCAAAGACGAAGGTGACGAAGGGAGAGAAGAAGATGATCATGATGTAACCATCAGGAACAAGAACATGAACAAGATAAAGATTCCTGGAGGTCAAGTGAACCCCCTTAAACTGGTACCGCCTGAATACCGACATTTGATCATCACGCTACATGTTCTGTTTCCGGGGGTGGTGTTACCAGGGTTGGAGGTTTTGGAGCGGGGGTTGGTTGAACGGGTCATTTTGAGGAGGTGTGCTGCTGGAGAGGGGGTAGCGGCAGCGGTAGTGAAGAAGAAGAAGAAGAAGGAGGAGGAGGAGGAGGAGGAGGAGGAAGATGAGGAAGGGAGGCAGAAGGAGCAGATGAAAGAAGGGGATATGGATGTGGATATGGATATGGATATGGATGTGGATGTGGTCATGGAAGAAGGGGACGACAACAGGAAGAACGACGACGACGACGACGGGGACGTAACAAGTCCGCCGCCGGCTGAGGATGAGACCAAGGATGGTGGAAAGGCTAAGAAAAACCACCACAAGTCACTGTGGGAGGAGTCCACAGAAGCAAAAGTCGAACATCATCCCCGGTCACCACCTCCAGAGTTCTATCTCGTCCGCTCCTCCCAGTTCCTCAACGTCCACCCGAAGCGGAAACGAAAGTATCCAAGTAGCAATCTTTCTGGGCTGTATGGAGACGCAGACACCGAGGGTATCCCGTCAGGTGTTGGCAGCGAAGCAGACCGAGAGCGAGACTACCGAATACAGCGGTACATGGTCAGCCTGGAAGCATGGAACTGTACCTGCGCTGCGTTTGCGTTTGCTTGTGTCTCGGAGCCAGAAGCAGGAGATGATGCAAAAGAAACAGGAGGAGAAGAGCTACAAGAAAAGAGAGAAAGTGATAACAAAGGAAGTGCAGGCTGGACCTTTGGCGGGATGACCCTCTTCAACGCCCGAGATCACTCGAGCGTACCGCCCGTTTGCAAACACCTGCTGGCCTGTCTGTTGGCTGATAAGTGGACGAGGGCGTTGGGGAGGTATGTGACGGATCGGGTGGTGAGTAGAGAGGAAATGGCCGGCATTGTTGCTGATGTGTAGTAAGTCTAGAGTGAGGGTCTGTTATAGATAGGTAGTTTCTCTGTTACTGGCGAACCGCAGTCAACAAACCAACTTGTCAGTTAAATAGTATTATTAAACAATCGCTCAAGATCCCATCCTTGACCTTGAGCAGCCCTCTTTCTATGTGTGAAAGTGTCTCTCTTGTGTTTGATTCCGTACACAGACGTGATTCATGCTGATTTGATTGATTTCGTATCATCTACGGCCGGGTCCGTTGCGCCCCGTCATCCATCCCGTTGCTCGCCTTCCTGTTCCCTCTTTCACTTTGTCATGTCTCGCTTATTTCTTCTTCTCTTTCGGGCTGTTCTCCTTCTCCTTGCTTTCACCATTTGCCGCCGCCGGGCTACCCTCCTTCTTGTCGGCGCCCTCCTTCTTCTCGCCGTTTTCTCCCTCCTTCTTCTTGGCGTCGTTCTCCTCCTGCTGCTGCCTGTTCTGGATCTTGTTCTCAATCAGGTCGTGGAACGCAGTGATGGCGCGGATCAGACTGCTGAGGTAGATGGCCATGAGCTGGTCGTTGGTCTTGATGCTCATGGCGTGGTTGAGCTCGCTGTCGGCGTTGGTTCCAGTAGCGCCTGGGCCGGACTTGGGCGTCGAGAGGTTGGGGAGCAAGTTGAAGACGTCCTGGAGGTTGCCGAGAATAGCGTGGTTCACGGGCAGCTGGCCGTCAAGGACCTTTTGGAGATATGCTTGGATGTCGCGGAGGCGGTGGTGGAGGCCTTGCAGCGAGCGCATCTGGTTGGTGATGCGGGTGGATAGTGTGCCGACGGCTACGTCACGGATGTCGCGAAGGAGGTGCTCGACGCCGATTTCCTCGGCCTCTTCGGCCTCGATAATGGAGGGAGTGTGGACAAAAGTCTTGGATGTAGTGGTGCCATCCTGTGGTAGTCACACACAAGTATAGTTAGCAGCTGTGACTTGGGCGAGGCTGAGTAAGAACAAGTGGAAACGCGACGGCGTCTCTGGAAGACATACATCCTTGATCTCGTCAACGGCAAAGTAGGCATCTGTAGGAACGCCCGTCTCCTTGGGCTGGACATCGACAATAACCAGAAGCGGGTTGGGAGTGTAGCGCTTGAACAGCTCGTTGATGTCGAGATCGGAAGCCCGTAGCTTGGGGCCGGAATGGTACCAGCCTATTAGCTTCTCGCGCGCATTGACCTTCTTGAACATGTCGTTCATGGACTCGACGTAGTTGTGGTCAAGGAACCAGACTGAGGGGTCCTTGTCGTCCTCCTCGAAGGGAACTGCATCACCAGAGTTAGCCGGATATTCACCTGGGCGCGGGGCAACCAGGCAAGCTTCCGCAGCAGACTACGCACCCGCGAAACTGTTGGACACGCGAACATTCTTTCCATCATTCTGGCCTAATAGCACGCCGACGACACGCTTGCTCTTGGACTTGTTGGCTTGGGTACGGTTGTAGTGGTCGACAACTGAGAGCAGAACCAGCGGCGCAACCGAGACGCTGCGGTTCACCAGGGAGAGCGTTTCCGCAGTAGTGGCGGGCATGGCGAGAGCTGGATTCGAGGTGTCGTCGTTGTCGTCGTCGTTGTCGTCGTCACCGTCGGAGGCGTGATGGCTTGTGTGTTTGGTGGGCGTGGCGGGAGGTCGGGTGGTATTTCGTGGGGTAGAAGAAGGAAGGCGGGCTGGTGGGTATGATGTATGTTTTGGTCGTCGATGTACGTATAGCAAGTATCGTCAGTTGTCAGTGGCCTCGAAGCTCCAACTGCTGTAGTTGCAGTGGTCTGGTCTCGCCGTCGTCACTGGCTAGCTGCCTCACTTGCTGGAAGGTGAGTACCCAATCAGGTTAGCGCCTGGGTAGGTACCTTCCGCTTGAACTTGAGTTGGGCGGTGGGGCCTCAGCCTTCTGCCCTGTGCCACTGCCGCGGTGACATAACAACCTAGAGGGCTTATCTAATCAGTAGCCGGTACGGATGTACACTAGAGGTACGCAGTCTGTACCCTCCGCCTGAACTTACAGGGGCTTTTATAGCGACCTTCCTCCTGAGGAAGTTGAGACCGCAGAAAGGGGGGTCTCTTTATGCGCTGGAAGGCTCCTTGGCGCGTGTCATGACACCCTTTTGGTCGTTGCGCCTCTGACAGAGACCTAGGATCGGCATAAAGTCGAGGGATCCTCCCGCCTTTTAATTCGAACGAACCCATCCGTACATCCATCCATCGTCTGCCCAACAACGTGACGCCATACTTTATACCTACCCGTCCGGCCCAACATAACCTCAAAGAAAGCAAAATAACCAAAATCTATCGCAAACATGAAGTTCTCCGGTCTCGTTCTCGGCGCCCTTGCCCTCGTCTCCAGCGCTATTGCCGTTGACATCCAGAAGTCGGTCATCATCACCTACAAGGAGAACACTCCCGACTCGGTGATCCAGCAGGACAAGAAGGCCATTCTCGATGACGGTGGTGTCATTACCCACGAGTACACCCTCATGAAGTATGCTCTCAGACACCGTCATGTTGGTTCGGGTGTTCTTGCTAACCCTTTTATCCAGGGGCTTCTCTGCCAAGGTTAACGCAAAGACACTCGAGTCGGTTTCCGCCTCCAGCGAGAGCTACGCCACTATCGAGGAGGACAAGGTCGTCAGCACGTTGTAAGCGGCCAGCTGATTGTTTGGCGACACCTGGGACGAGCGCAGACAACAAAAAAAAATTAACCATTCGAGTCTACACAGCGACATCTAAGGTACAACGGTGCCAGAGAGAAAGAGAGACTGAAAGAAAGTGTGTTGGAAATGATACCCAGGTGCAACTGTACTGGGCAAAGTTGTTGCCTTTTGCGGACTGTAAGTCATAGTCTTGGCGTTTTTGGAAATGGATCGATGGAGATGGACTGTCATGATATCAACATCTGACGGACGGGCTCAATGTCCCAACGTTTGGCAAGCATCTTTACGTTCAATAGATTATGTGTTTATCAACGTCATGATCATGAAGCATCGAGGTTCGGGTCTCAGGAACTTCATGAACCTGGTACTGTCATCATACGACTCCATATCCGAAGTCATTGTCATTGAGAAATCGACATGTAAACAACTTATGGTCGTTCGACTACCTAACCACTCATCGCCGACCATGTCGCTGACTCGGAAGCTATGACTTGATCTTCAGGGGAATGGGTTGATCCACTGCGGTGAGCATGTTGTGTAGTCTCATGAGCCATGGGCTCTTTGGTAACAGCCCTGTTCAGCAACCCAGCTCGAGACAGCGGTTCCGCGGGTTTCTTTCCAGTTGGTAGAGACCTCGTCTCCAAGAGCCTGACATCATTCGACAAGAACAGCGTAACCACCCCAGGTACAGATCATGTCTGGTCAGTGCCGTGATGTTTGTAATGTCCATAGCCTAGGTATAGCGTAGAGGAACTCGGGCTCTCCAGGAACGGCACAGGAACCCATCATGCCAACATGCCCTGATCCCTGAGACTGCTCCAGTGGTGGATGAGCTGAATCGGGATGTTTGAGTGGATGCCAAATGGGAACCTCGACGACCACAGTTCGCACAAGAAACGAACGACGATGCCCCATGCACGTAATTACATCGAATACATTGCCGAAACCAAACTGGAACCCCTGTTGCTCTGCTTGCATCTCAGGGCGTCAAATCAGCGATAACAGCAGTCAGTGGTCTATTTGCGTTCAGTCAGTCCCCTTCCCCAGAGTGGCCCGCATACCTAGCGCACCGTGACCCCAATGGAGACGCAACTGAACCGCCTGCCGTGGTGAGGTGCCAGTCATGTATGAAACGAAATTCCCCCAACCCGACCTTAATGTCCAACCGCGACTCGGGAATTGGACAACTTCCAACGAACTTCGGGACATACAACAACACGAGAACTTGCGCATCCGCAAAGACAGACGTCTTGAGTAATCAAGGCTCTAATCAACCGTTCAAGAGGATCACCAATCCCATTTGAATCATTCATTTATCCTTGATCGCCTCCCTACTTGGCTTCCAACATCCGACTTGTCCCGTCTTTGGCCTTCTGTTCGCCGCGTTTAATTAGCATCTCCTGAGAAAAGAAACGACCTCGTCTCAGCCGTCGCCTTACAATCTTTTGTTCTATCTTGCATTATTCACCACATCGTACTTTCCCTCAACTGCCGCAGCATAGTCCAATCGATTACCGGGCAGACAGCACGGAATTCCTGCATCCGTTTTACGCTTACAACGTGCCGACGTCTTGTACACTAAGTACACGCACCCGATCAAGACCCTCCACCTCGTCCCGTTGGGTTCCGATCCGCCCCTATCGTAAGGCTATATCGACGACACGCTGGCCCATAGTTTTGTCGATTCCGTGCGGCCTCTACATTGATCACCATTACCAAGTTATCTGAACCGTGGGCCCGTCGGGCCTCTTGAGACTACCCATCATGACGCAGTACAGCCTCGCGAAGCAGGCCGCCCTGTTGAAATGGATCAACACGTTCAAGACATCGCGCCGGGCGGCCACCCTTAAGGACCTCCAAGATGGTCTGATGCTGGGAGACATTCTCGAAGATATGACCTCCGGGGACTTTTCCAGCTCCAGCCTCATTCGGAATCCTTCCTCACCCGAAGACAACAAGGCCAACCTTGAAACTGTATCTCGTGGCCTTGCTGCTTTCATGCGCAACGACGTTCCGCAGTACGCTCCTCCGCCGTCCAAGTTGCGCGCCATTCTCGAACACCCGGACGACATTGCAATTTGCGAGTTCCTCTCGTATTTTGTTATTACCATCTGCTTGGGTTCCACCAACAAGGCATACGTTCCGGCTATCCTGCAGCTCGACAGCGTTACACAAAAGGAAATCGCAAACACCGTCGAAGTGTTCCAAAAGCGAAAAGATGCGGATGCGAAACTGCAAGAGCCGAAGGAGGTGGATGGACAAACTAATGCCGACCTGCACATTGTCAGGGATCCGGCCCTTATGGAGGAAGAGTTGAGGCAAACAAAGGGCGCCTACGAATACCTCAAGAAGCAGAATGCCGATCTACAAGCGCGGGTCGACAAGCTCCTCGATACACGCCAAGCTCTACTCAACGACCTTAACGGGGCGCAAGCCGAGCTGAACGCTATGAAGAGGCACAGGGGTGCCGATGCTGGCGCAGCCATCAAGGACTTGCGAGACGAGATCAAGGACAAAATGGCCATCATTGACGACTTGGAGGCTCAAATCGTCAAGGAGACAGCGCACATCACCAAGCTCGAGAAAGACAATGCTGCTCTAAAAGCAAGGGCTGACCGGGTTAAGGACCTGGAGGACAAGCTTATAGAGCTGGAACACGAGAACAAGCAGCAACAGCAACAGATCAAGGGCCTAGAGAACTACAAGAAGAAGGCTCAAGATCTTACTTTTATCCAGCAACGAAACAGGACCCTAGAGGAGCAAATTGTCCAGATGGAACAGGACTTGAAGGACTTTGAGAACTTCAAGGCGCAAAACAGGAAGCTCCAAAAGGAGATTGAAGAAAAGGTCAAGGTGTTGGCGAATAATGAGCAAGAGATTGTCTACACGCTCCAATCCAGGAACGTCTTGCAAGAAACAAACGAGGAGCTCCAACGAAGAGTTGAGTACCTTGAATCGAAACACCAGGCTGATGAGAATATGATCAAGGAGCTCCAGGAGCAGCTTCAAATGGGTGGTGCCATCCATGAGACATCGGGTTCACAAAGTCCTGTTACCAATGGCGGCTTCAACCTCGAGCATGAGCTTGAAACAGAACCTGCTGTTCGTCTAGAGCTCCAGCGGCTCAAGGCAGAAAACAACGTCTTGCGCAGCAATATGACCGTTGCGTCTGAGAATGAGCGCCTAAGAAGCGAATTGGAGTCGGCCAACAAGAAGGTTGACTTGTATCGCGGCAAGTGCACCGAGGCTATGGAGAAGCACGCCGTTGCCCAGGAACAACTCAATGCCATGATGAACAACACAACAGGAGAAAGGTTTGTTTACGCGCTTAATTCTGAGTGGGAATCACAAAATTAGGATTTACTAACACCTGAGTACCTTAGCAATCCCGCTTTTGTGAACCTGCGCAAACAGTTCCTTGACACCTCGAGCGACGTCGAGAAGCTCACAAAGCGAGTTCAGGAGCTCGAGCAGGACGTTGCAGACAAGGAGCGCGAGTTGATCGCTGTGAAGACAGATCGTGAGTCCTGGCATCTTTGTGCTGAAAATGCAAAGGCAAAAACTGACCAACGTTCTTCCCATAGTGTCCGTCATTGGAGAGGAGCAATCAGCTGCACTCACCGCACTCAAGGCTTCTGACGAGTTGATAGCCGAATCGCTACAGAAGGAACTCGAGGCCACACGCAAGCAGCTCAGAGAGAAGACGTTTGAACTGGACGAGATGAAGGCACAGCTGATGGAAGCATTGGTCTCCAAGGACAAGCTCCGCAAGCAGCTGGACGATGCCATTGCGAGCGGCGGAGATCCGAACAAGTCCAGGAAGGAGGACGTTGAGAAGATGGAGAAGCTGAAGGCTGCGCTCAGGCAAAAGATCGAGGTGAGCAACGACCCTTCTTCAAGTCCAACACCTCCTTATCTGGCCTCACGGGTCGTTATCCCCCTTTTGGCGAACCCCTCGCCTATCGCATCTGGGTTCATCTTTGACAAAGATGGTGAATGGGTCATCGTTCCCACGTCAATACCATCAGAAGGCTCCTGGCTTAGTGGCCTTGAGAAGACCAGTGCTTGCCTGTCAAGCATTTTCAAACGATGGAAGACTGAGATACCTGCTCTTGGTGACTGGTGATCACGTACTGTATGGTGATCACCTGCCTCTCAGTCTTATCCCTCAAGCTCCTTGTCCTTTTGCTTTCAGCTGTATCCACGATTACTTTACCTGCCCACAGACTGATTTCCCAGCTGTCGAAGCCGACAAATCTATCATCACCAAACAGTGTTTTAGCCATGTTGTATATGCACCTCTCACAAAATGCTAATGCCACTCGCCTATAGCAACTCGACAAGGCTGAACAGGAGAAGTACGATCTCCAAAGGCGGATCAAGCTTGTTGAGAGCGGCGGTGCCTATGCGGCCCAAAAGGTACGTCCATTCGTTGCTTTCCATCCGCCTGGACGATGACAGATGTAATGCGATTTTTTTGTATTTGTTGTTGTTCCCCTTTGATTTGTATACTAACCAGAGCATCTTCCGGTCCAAACAACAGGCGGCAAGCGACCAAGTCATCAAGAACCTCCAGCGCGAGAATTCCATGATCACAACAGCATGGTACGACATCACAAGCCGGCTGCAGAGCAACCATGTCATTCTCCAAAGACGGCACGACCAACCCAAGAGCTGGCTGCACAAGCAAAGGCAGTTGGTAAACGGTGAGTAAAACAATCCTTACCTCAACCCTCAATCTCCTGATTTTCTTTTTTCCTCGGGACGAAGACCAAAATCTGACCCTTATCCCCTTTTGTTCTTCTGTAGCCACGCCAAGGAGGTAGAACGTCCTCGCGTAGCCTGCCCTGTCCTACCAAGATCAGGGCCGGCCGCCTCGCCGCCGCCGCCGCTACCACCATCTACCACCTACCATCATCACGTTACGTCTCTGCAAGCAACCAAGATCAACCCACACATGGTCTCGTATTCAACCTGCCTAACTGATGCTGCGCTTTGCTGGACAGCGATCTTCTCGCTTATCCGCGCGTTACTGTCTGTGGTGGCGGTGGCGACCACCTTGAAGAACCTCTATCGTATCTCGATCGTGCTAGCAAGAAAGCCGAACAGAAATAAGTCGGGTCCAAGGTCATCATCATCGTCAATACGACGGCTGATGGCCACCACGGCGGCGACTATGGCGTTTGTTTCGGTGCTAGTCACGGGGGGTGATTGATCGACTGGATGTTTTTCTGCGTGCGTGCGTGCGGTTGGTGTGGATTCCAACAAGAATAACAAAAAGAAAACTATAGAGAAGACGTCTTTGAAATAGATTGTGGACATACCCTATCTAGACACAATCTCAAGGGAGAGTCACATGAAGGGAAAACGTCGCGAAGGGAATGAATAGACGGATGCATTGATAAGGAGCAGGGCGATCAAGACGGGCGACATATGGATTTTAATAAAGACACGAAGCAAGGGCCGAAGTATCAGACGATGTAAAACGCTTACAAAAAAAAACCATGTGTTAGAAGCTAGATAGCATTGCGTCGAGTTGGGTTAATCATGGAATCTTTGTTTACTTTGCCCCTGAGATAGACCTGAAAGTGGGATTAGAAAATGAGACGAATGAACATGATGGCGGCGATTGCCACGTTTACATCACTTTGGTACCATGGAAAAAAGATATCAATAGGATCTTTTTCACTTTGTTTCAATTTTCCTCTTTTTCCTGAATCTACCCATCCATCCATCCATCCCGAACATCCCGGTTACAAGAAAGAAGTCTCGTTCTCTTCTGCCTTCGTGTCATGATAACAAACATGCATCGTCGCTTTTCCCATCATAACATCAAAGACCCCCAATTCCCGTTATTTTCCGAAAACGAACCGCCTTTTGAACGGTGTCTCGGTGACATCAAGGGTGGTGTGGTGTGGTATATATGTAACAACAACCTCCAGCCAGTCATGGTGACTGGTCATTTTGCCCCCTTCCCAAAAACTCGAATCGAAGGAGCAGAGCTCATACCAACTAAGCGCAGGATGAGGATAATTCGGTTTCGTTTCGTATTCGTGTCCAGGTTCGTTGGTTGAATCGGTGTATTGTACTTTTTCTTCAACATTACCGACTATTATGAAAGGAAGAAGCTTGGCCCCCGCTTCTCTTTCTGCCCTGCTCTTTTTTTTTCCTTCACCACCAACCTAAAACGTGGAAAGAAACCACAAGCTGACATTGGTTTTGCCGGGTGTTTTCTTTACGAGCTCTTGGCAGCAGAAGCAATCTTGCTCATGATACCGCTGCCAGCGCTGCTAGCCTTGGCCTTGTCACCTTCAAAGATGGCGAGCAGGGACTTCCAGACCTGGGCGGGCTCCTGGCTGGCGTCAATGGCCTTCCAGATGCCCGTGTTCTGGTAGTAGCCGACGACGGGCGCCGTCTGCTTGTGGTAGGTCTCAAGACGCTTGCGCAGCGCCTCGGCGTTGTCGTCACTGCGCTGCACCAGCGGCTCGCCCGTGATGTCGTCCTTCATGTCGTCCTTGGGCGGGTTGAAGATGCGGTGGTAGGAACGGCCGGAAGCAGGGTGGACGAGACGGCCCGTGATGCGCGCGACGAGAAGGGAGTCGTCGATCTTGAGCTCAACCGCATGCTGCAGGGGCAGGTTGCGCTCGCGGAGCATGGCGTCGAGACCCTCGGCCTGGGGGACGGTGCGAGGGAAGCCGTCGAGGATGAAGCTATTGTGAGGAAGGAGGGGTTGTTAGTTTATGGTTAAAGGGCAAGAAGGGGGGGAGGGGATGGGGGGCAATGGAAAACACATACCCGCCCTGGCACTCCTTGTTGTTCTCCAACTCGTCCTTGATCATGCCAATGACAATGTCGTCGCTGACGAGACCGCCCTCGTTCATGATCTTCTTGGCCTGCTTGCCGAGAGCGGTGCCCTTGGCGACCTGGGCGCGGAGCATGTCACCGGTGGCCTATGAAGCGTTGCGCGCGTGTCGCGCATTGGTTAGCTTCTCATCCGGTCCCTAGTCCCAGACTGGCGCGAAACAAGACACCAATCGGTTCTTTTGCATGGGGGACAGGCAGCAAGACAAGGAAACTTACAAGGTGGCAGCAGTTGAACTTCTCCTTGATCTTGGGGGCCTGGGTGCCCTTGCCGGCACCGGGAGGGCCCATGAGGACCATGCGGAGCTGCTCGGCGGTGGTGACGGGCTTGCCGCTGAAGTCGCGGGTCTCGAGGGACCTGACGCGATCCTCGAGGGAGGCAATGACATCGCCGAGGCGCTTAACTTCGTCGTCGATGAAGCCCATCTTGAATGTGGTGTGTTGGGGAGGAGTGGAGATGTTTGGTTGGAAGGTGGAGGAGGTGGAGGTGGAGGCAAGAGGGAGAGAAAAGGAGAGAGAAGCAGAAGAAGAAGAAGAAGAAGAGAAGAGGAAGGGAAAGTTGGAAAAGGAAATAACCTCAAATTCAAATCAACGGAGCGAAACGGACACGGAACGCGGGAGCAAGACTGGAGTCAATGGTAGTAGTACTAGGTAGTCGGGCTACGGGTACCTCTTCTAGTAGTCCGGGTCACGGTAGTATTGTATACTGTATGGAGGCCGGGGACGGTCCTGGTTTGGCTGACAGGTACTTTTGAAGCTCGGTCGTTTTTTTTTCTCCAGTGATCGGAGCGGCCACGGCAGCGCTTGGATGCCACTGGACCCGGACTCAGTGGTTGTTGAGCACGAGTGCCCATTCCCCGTTCATTGACTTGCCCTGAATTTTGGATACATACCTAGAGATCTCATTTGCTTGCAGTAGGTTACTGTACATGACGCACTGCTACTACCTACCTCTGTCTCTACGACATTCTGTATGGATTACGGGGTACATGAGGGGAGTTACCGTTCGGTCACCTCCAAGTTTGATTTCCCTGTATGGTTGGTTATAAGGAACCGAACCGGTACATCTTTTAACCGATCACCCCGGACTTTCATTGAGTGTATCTGGGCAATCTGAACTTTCGATCCTTGCTGAGCTCGTTTTGTGTTCCTAGAGAATGGTATCACCGTCACGGGCTCAGACAGCTACACCTGAATTCCTTTCAACAGTTGTCGTGGTGAGGGCTTTTTGGAGCTTCAATAAGTGCCCCTCCATGGTGGTACGTATGACAAGAGCTCCCATCTGAAACCTCTAGGTATGAGGTACATCTCTCGGAATTCACCGGCCACTCAACTGTCAACAACAAACCCGGGCTTCCGATGCCATTCCTCTCCTCCGACAACCATGATAATCCTGCCGATATTGGAGGTTGGGATGGACTGGACATTGGACCAGATGGGACGGAAGGATGGCCTCGCTGGGTTCGGGTCGGCAATCCGGATGAATGGACTTGAACTCAGACTTCAGTGGGGGAGTTGGGGAATGGTGGGAATGCGGATGCCAAGTTGCAAGGTCCCGAGGATGTCAAATCCACCACACGTGGGGTGTCCCGGTGTTCCTAGCGCCAAGCTCCTGTTGGAGACTGCCCAGCTTCGTCTCATCATCGCCAGCCTCGGCAGTCATAAGCTAGCCATGCATGCTTACGCAACAGGGAGAGCATCAAGTGATGGAATTTGTTTAAAGTATGTGAGTGGGTAAGCGTCAGCTTCATATTATGCCGTGACAATTATCATTATGATAGATACGTAGCTAACTTAGGTACGTGTGTAATACTAAGGTAGTGCTCGAGTGTTCCAACGCCGTAGAAACGCCAAACGAGCCATGATAATGCGAAACCCATGGTAATGCCCTCTTCGAGCCCCAAATGCTATGTGAGATCATGTACCGCCGACTAAACATTGGCCCTCGCACTCCCCGGGTTGCTGTTGTCTTCGCCGTCTGCCCAGATATCCTTACTCTCCTGTTCAACCGCGCGCATGGCAACAGCAACATCCTCCAACTTGGCGACAACATCGAGGACACCCTGATTGACTCTGGAAAAGTAGTGATCATTGGCCTCACGTCTCTTCCTTGCGAGTAGAATGTCAGCCTCAGTCTCCTGCTCAAGCTTCGCGCCGAGCTTCTCAGGTCCTCCGGCACTACTGGGCCGTGTGCTGCCGGCGCCTCCGGTGCTCTTTGGTCCTCCGCCCTCAGGGCCTCCTGTCGTGCCACCCGCCTCGGATTTCCCACCAAGACCACCGTGTTCCGTTCCGGCAACCGACGACTTGATTTTCGCTAGCCCGCCTCCTATGACGCTTGCAGCACCGCCATTGTTCTGTGTCTCGACAGCATCATCCGCTTCACTCCTCGCCCAAGCCTGCGCCAGCGCAATCTGTGCCTGTCGTAGCTCCGCCAGCTTCTGCTCGTGATCCGGTCCAAACACCCTCGTGCCTCCGCTAGCTGACAGCTCGACCTCCTCCAGCGTCGCTTGCATCTCAGCCCAGAGCGCATCCGTCCTATCGGTGGTGCGCGTAGACTCGCCTCGAGGCAGGTGCAAAGGCATGGAGAGATTGAGGGCTGTTGCGGGATTCGGGGTTGTAGAACCGGTCGTGGTTGTTGCTGCATTGGCGGCGACACTTCCTCGTCGGGTATCATTCACGGTCGGTGAAGGTAGTAGAGATGCGCCACCGCGGCCAGGTCCGAGAGGGGAGGCTGGTCCCGGTCCCGGCGGGTAGCCTTGGCCGGGGCCAGCTGTTGTAGAGAGCGAGGCATGTGAGGCCGATGGCGAAGGAGGAAGGAAGAGCGATGGCGGCTCGCGCGCCTTGGACTTTACCTTGGCGAGTTGGGACATGGCTACATTTTCCAAAACAAGGGATCTTGCTGAATGTCTGTAGGTCAGCTTCAAGAAGGATGAACTGCGACGAACAGTGACACAAGCGTCGCGTCTGCGTGGGGTTGGTTGAGCTTGGGGAACCTTGACGGTACAAACATACAAGGGAAGTGACGGAGTAGCTAGCTTATCAAAGGGGCTTATCAGTCGCATCATCTACTATTGGCCAGATGTGCACCAAATGCTCCACCTTTCACGCAATCAGCAGACAGTGGCCTGAGGCGAGTGACCCCACTTGCTCGCCACCCAATCGCACGCAGTCCTAGGGTTTTCTCGCCCTACTGCGGAAAAACCAAAAAATTCCCAGCAAACCGTGCCTTTGACCCTCCGGATTACGAACTGTACCCAGAGTCCGTGATCACGTCTCTAAGTCGGTACGTGCCTCCCTGCTGCCCCCCCGCCTTCACCACGTCGAGATATTTCGGTTTTCGACTCCTCCTTTGAAACTGTCCCCCAAACTGACATTTTCAACCAAAAGCCAATATGTCTGGAGGAAAGCCCCGTGGTCTTAACGCGGCCCGCAAGCTGCGCAACAACCGTCGCGAGCAGCGTTGGTCCGATCTTCACTACAAGAAGAGGGCTCTCGGCACTGCCTTCAAGTCCAGGTACGCATCAATCCCGACGATGGCGATGGCGATGGCGATAGCGATGGAGATGGAAACGACCGCGAACGATGATGGCGAAATGAAGAGAAAGAGATGGGAATGATGGGGCGATTGAAGATCACGAACAACACAAGGCAAACCGAGATGGAGGGCATTCGGCTAACATGACGATGATGACAGCCCCTTCGGTGGTTCTTCCCACGCTAAGGGCATTGTGCTCGAGAAGGTCGGCGTTGAGGCCAAGCAGCCTAACTCCGTACGTACACCCCGATCCCGATTTCGATGAACTCGATTCGACCCGATTTTTCCGACATCGACAACGAGTTGCGACTTTAACATAAGGCTAACATCTGCGACCATAGGCTATCCGCAAGTGTGTCCGTGTCCAGCTTATCAAGAACGGCAAGAAGGTCACCGCTTTCGGTACGACGATCCCTCTCCAACTCCCAAATTATCCCATGATGAAACATCATCCTGCTGGAACCCCCAGCACATTCAAGTGGCACATGTGCTAACCCATATCCCCCTTTAGTCCCCAACGATGGTTGCTTGAACTTCGTTGACGAGAACGACGAGGTTCTCCTCGCCGGTTTCGGTCGCAAGGGCAAGGCCAAGGGTGATATTCCCGGTGTCCGCTTCAAGGTCGTCAAGGTCTCTGGTGTCGGTCTCCTCGCCCTCTGGAAGGAGAAGAAGGAGAAGCCCCGCTCTTAAGCGTATCGTTGCTTCGAGCAGGCAAACGGGCACGGTTCATTATGCGGAGTCTACGAGGCTTTTTTACAACGGCATTTTGGTTTTGGGTTTAAGGGATACCTGAACTCTCATGGTAGTAATGATTCAACAGAAAGCAGGTCATTAATTGCCAAAAGAAATCGTGCTTTCCCCAAAAGTCCCTTCTCTCTATCTCTCATACCTTTTAGTGTTCTGGAGATTGTCCAGGGACTGCCTGTGTCTAATAGTATGACAAACATGGTGTTATGGTACATGAAATTACAAAGATGATATCCCAAAAGAACAGAGAAACATTTACCATTTTCAGGCCGACTCCAGCTCTTCCGGCTTCTTCTCAAGCTTCTCCTGGCCGTAATACTTGAGCAGATAGTCAGTCGCCAATCCCAGGCTGATGACGCCGCCGGTAATCCAGCAGCCATTGACAAACCACCACCAGCAGTCCTTGACACTCTTCAAGTTAACCTTCTTGATCATGTAACCCAGCGTCAAGGCCGCGCCACCACAGCTTCCGATAAAGAAGGCCGGTCCAGCACCAACCGCCGCGCCCGCCCCAGCGAGCAGCGCAATTTGCGCAACAGCCAAGCCTGTCAACACCTGCTTCGTCTCCTTATCGTGCTTGAGCGCAATGCTCTTGATGCCCGCCTTGGCATCATCCTTGATGTCCATGTGCGCATAAATCATATCATACAACACCGTCCACGCAATGTTGCTGGTATACAAGCAGCCCGCCGCCGTCAACGCCGCCTGGTTCGCCAACAAGTCCACCCCCAGTGCGGGAAAGCCCATGATGGCTCCCCACGAGAACGTCAAGCCCAGCACAAACTGCGGGTAATACGTCACCCGCTTCGCCAGCGGATAAGACGCCACAAAAAGCAAGCTCGGCGTTGCGTACCAAAAGCACTCAAAGGGGAACTGCAGCAAAACCACCAACCCGGCCAGAAGCTGCGACCCCGTGAATACCAGGCCTTGGAAGGGCGTGATGGCCCTCCGCGCGATGGGCCGCAGCCGTGTACGCGTCACGTGCGGATCGAGGTTGCGGTCCCAAAGGTCATTGACGGCGCAGCCGGCGCCGCGCATGATGATGGCTCCCGAGATGAAGAGGAGCGAGGTGCCGATGACAGAGGCCGGCGAGGCGGGTCCCGCGAGGGGAGCTGCCAACAAGGTGCTGAAGAGGCAGGGGAAGAAGAGATAATAAGAACCCGTGGGCTTGTCGAGGCGTGCTAGCTCGGCGTAGGGAACCCAGGAGGGGGGGAGGCGCGAGAGGAGACCGGTTGTTGGGGGCACATACTCAGGCAGAGGAGGGTCGGAGGAGGGTACGGCCGAGGTGGGGAGGGTGGCGCTCGTGGGTGTGGTTGGAATTTCGGGTTGGGAGAGGAGGGGGTTGGTGGTGTGGTAGTTGTGAAGAGTCTCAAGTGAGAGGAGGCGCGGCTTGGTGAGGGCCTTGGACTGGCGGGAGGGCCGGATGCCGAGACATGGTGGTGATGAGCAGGATGGCTTGGTGAAAAAACGAGTGGTGGTGTGAGAGAAGGTTTGTCGGGGAACAAGTCTGGTCAAAAGACGGTGTGAGGACATGATGGGCGAAGTGTCCTTCCGGCGAAGCAGCCGTCGTGAGAATGAGGCTGTCTGAGATGTGTGTAAGTGTTAGTGAGTGCTAGCGGTACTGTGTAAGTGAGCAACTTCACATGTCTCAACTGATAGAGATGCCGAAGTTAACCGTGGAAGTTGAGTGACAGAACTTGGGGGGAAAAATAACCAAAGAAAATCTTTGTGAAATTACCTCTTGTCCCGGTCCCTACCCAGCTAGGATGTTATGCCTCTGACACTAAATCCAGAATCGAGTAGACGTGACAAGCTTGCTCTTCAACTTGGCTCGGGGATTGTTTTCGTGATCTTAGTGTCAGCCTTCTGATCTACACAAATTATTTGCGCCACAGTAAGACCCCTGGTTCTCCATCTGATTTGAGGTGCTGGCACCAGCCACATCTGTAAATTATACTTTGATTGGCTCATGGCAAACAGATAAAGCTCACAAGCCCCGCAGCTTCAGCCTCCCGCACTCGCGCTGCTTTCCCGCCCGTCCCTGCAGGGATTCATGACAACAAGGATTACCAATTGGCCTTGTCGACTTTTGCCGCGCCGGACAGTAAACTTCCAGTTCCCACCCCAGTACAGGGCGATTTCATGTCAATCACCACCTCCCTGCAGCAACGAACACCAGATTGAAGGCGACTGCGCATTTCTCACAACAGTTGCATGCCCTTCAGTTTCGTTTCGCTGCCTTCCATCACCACAGCCGATGCAGGCATCTCTAGCTTGCACTCCCTACGTTATGTCAAATTGAGCATCATGTAGCTTAAATGCTTTGCGCGTCTCTCTAACAACACCGTACCTCTATCGCGTAATCATCACGTCCCTCGCACGAACCTCTTCCGAACCCATTCGAGAATATAGCAGCATCGTCGCATCACAACAACCGACACACACCAGCACCAACATCACCCACCACCACCACCAAGATGCCGGCCGCATCCCATCCCCAGGCCAAATTCGACCCGATTCCGCCGGATCTCGATCTTCATGCCCTGGTTGAAAAGACGCCAAATTTCCACTGGGTCCTCCGCGTCTCGGCAGCTCAGATCCGCAACATCGGCCCTCAAGAGTTCGAGAGACTCGTCTACCTTCACGTTATCCGCGGTGGCAAACCGTTGGTCATTGAGAAATGGAACGATCGACTACCCAAGACGCTGTTTAGCGCAGAATGGCTCGAAGGCACCTATAACAAGAAACGTGAGTATCATGCTGTCACTTTGTGTCACCGATGCTGCAGTCTAACCACCTTGACCTTCTGCAGAGGAAAATGTTCGCGACATTGTCGCACAAACCGACATTCCAATGACCATGGGCCATTACCTCCGATCAATGAAGCAGTTGACGAACCAGTGGACCCCGAGCAACTTCCGCGATGAGCGCCGCCAACGCCTCTACCTCAAGGATATCGACTGCCCGCCCGAGTGGCAGGAGCGCCTTCAGAAGATCATTCCGACGAACCTCTTTTACATGAACGACAACCTCGACAAAAAGGTTTCGAGGCGCTTCGATGACTATGACTACGTGGAGGAAAAGTCCTGCGCACCAGCCGGTGACCTGATGAGCAGTCTCCCCGAAGAGATGCGCGCCCAGAACTTGATGTGCTACGTCGGTCACGAAGGCACATACACTCCGGCCCATCGCGAAATGTGCGCCAGCTTGGGTCAGAACATCATGGTAGATGCATCCGGAGACGAGAACGGGGAGAAGCCTGGCAGCTCCATCTGGTTCATGACCGAGACCAAGGACCGTGAGGTTGTCAGAGAATACTTCCTCTCCATTCTGGGACACGACATTGAGATTGAGAAGCACTTTGCTCAAATCAACGCTTGGAAGAAGGCAAATTTCCCCGTCTACATAGTGGAGCAGAAGGTGGGCGATTTTGTTCTGGTCCCTCCTTTGGCTCCCCACCAGGTCTGGAATCGCGGCACTCGCACCATCAAGGTTGCGTGGAACAGGACCACGGCGGAAACCCTGGAGATGGCCTTGCATGAAGCCCTTCCCAAGGCAAGGCTCGTCTGCCGTGACGAACAGTACAAGAACAAAGCGATCATCTACTTCACGCTACAAAAGTATTACAACCAAATGATTGAGATGGAGCAGAATGCCGACATTGGGCTGCTCGGCTTTGGTCAGGATTTGATGAAAAACTCTTTCCGCATGACACAAATCGCCAAAGACTTCAAGGCCCTTTTCCGCCTGTTCACCGAGATTTTGGTGGATGAGATGTTTGCCACAAAGGAGAAGGAAATTGAGTATATTGAGTTTGACTCCTGCATTACCTGCTCGTACTGCAGAGCCAACATCTTCAATCGCTTCCTCACTTGCAAGCACTGCGTTCGCACCCTGGTTACTGGAGACGAAGACACATACGATATCTGCATGGAGTGCTACGCCATGGGACGTTCATGTCTTTGTGTTTCCAACCTCACTTGGGCCGAGCAGTGGAAGTGGTCTGGCCTGGTGGATTGTTATGAAGAGTGGCGCGCTCTGATCATTAAGAACGATGGCTATGTCGACTACGACACGTCTCCCTTACCACTGGAGTTGGCGAGAAGGAAGTCGGGCAAGAAGTCTGTGGCGCAGATTTGCCAGGAGCAGCTTCGGAGACGGCCATGGAAAGATATCAGCAAACTCGATAAGCCTTCGGAGCCCGAAAACTCGGAGCCAGAAGTCGACGAAAATGGGAAGCCTAAGAAGAAACCACGTCGCAAAAAGAAGAAGGGCGATGTTTACCGTTGCCATGTGTGCCAGCATAAAGACTACACCTACAAGCTCGCATTCTGTTCGAACCCAGGATGTTTAGAAGCCTATTGCTACGGTGTTCTCTACCGAGCGTTCGATCTCATGCCCCAGGAAGTCCTGCAAAATGAGAGATGGGAGTGCCCTAGGTGCCTCAAGATCTGCAACTGCGGCGCTTGCCGTAGGCTCAAAAATGGCAATGTCCCATATCATCCGAAGAACACGCTGCTTGGACACGATACTCGCCCTATCGCTGACGATCGGAGTGTGGAAACACTTGTCGATTTCAAGGTACATAATCTCAATTGGCTCAAGACGTCCGGCGACGATGGCCGCAACGTTCAGAGCAAGAGATTGCAAAAGCTACAGCAACAGGCCGAAGCCGAGAAGGCCAAGAACGCAGACGTACACATCCAGGTGCCCGCCCTACCGAGCGGTGAGCAGGCAACGGGAGCTGAAAACATGGATGACGCTTTGCAACAATCCATTGCCGACGGCTTGGGTGAGGGCCAGGAGAGACCGGATGTTGAAATGACTGGTGCATCTGCCGACCAGCCCAACGTCGCCCAACCAGCAGGTCCCGCCGAGGTTGCAGATATGTCGGTTGCTCCCGAGGATCACGATCAGTCCGCTTACCCTGATCCGTCCATGTTCGGCCAGGAGCGCATGCTTGGTATGGGTTATTACCAGCAGGATGACGATAGTCCGGACAAGATCCTGTTCGACCCTTATCAAAGACCTACGGCCGAAAATTATGTTGTTGACGAAGAACCGGAATTGATGCCTGAGTATTTGAAAAAGACAGCTTCGGTTGGCGTAAGCGCAGGGCCCGCCACGCCGAAGATGACGATCCTGATTTTGCTGCACCTCGCTCTCACCATCGGAAGAAGCCCAAGCTTGACAAGACCTCCCAGCCCCCAGACACGCGGGACGGTCAAGACGACGCTCTCGAGAACATGGACCCGGCGCTCTTTGATCAGACGATGACAGATGTTGGCGGTGATATAGAGATGGATCTGCCCAGGCTGG